TGAAATTCAATGATATGACCTCGCTGAATAGTGGAGATAAATACTGATTTTTAATTACTTCTTTTAGAGTCTTATTCTTTAGTCTTTCTTACTGATCTACAGTTCAATATTACTCTTGAACTTGTTGGGAATGATTCTGGCAATTTAGGCTGTGGCTATCAGTCAGTATCACTTCTCACAGGAGATTGTACAAAGTTGCACAGAGCAAGGAGAGGGTCAGGGTGAGGAGTGGGAATGAAACGGGAAACATTCTGAGTATTCCAAGTCAGTCCATCAAACACATTTGGAATCTGCTATTTTAAGGTACAAAAGTACAATAGTGTTGTTTTAAAAAATATGAAGGACAAAGGACGGGAGAAGTTATTAAAATGTGTCGTCAAGTATATTATATAAAATATCTTCTCATGTGTGTGTCCATAGATGTTAAGCAGAACATTTCAGATTGGAAAGAATATCTGATGAAAAAGTTGGTGGGCACCAACACTTTACCTGTTGATTTCTACACAAAGGTAAAACTATGTGCTTTGTTATTCTGGCACTGTTGTTATACAGTATATGTGAAGAGTGAAGAATTGTGCCTTCCTTAAAAACATCTCTGTCCCGTTATCACTCTTCTTATGCTTTTTCTACCAGCTGTCAGAGAGCATGAAGACCTCTTTTAAGTTAGGCATGCGCGTGGAGGTGGTGGACCCCAAACACGTGAGCCAAACCCGCGTGGCCGCCATAGACTCCATAATCGGTGGCCGTCTGCGGTTGGTGTACGCAGACCAAAGTGACGCCCCGTCCAATGTCGTTGCTGATTTCTGGTGCCACATGTGGAGTCCTCTCCTTCACCCGTTGGGCTGGTCCAGCAAAGTGGGTCATGACATAAAGTCACGTAGTAAGTCTAGGATTTCATTTATCAATACATGTGACTGAAATCAGGCAGGAAAATGTCGGGACTTTAGTGCATGTCTGAAAGCAGCTTTGGAAATACAATAAACACTGAACAGAAGAGACACACATTAATAATTGAAAGAATTGTTAGAATAGTTGAATTCTTCTTCTCCCCAGTTGGTGGTGATAACTCTGTATTTGACTCCAATCTGTTATTATAATGCAAAGCAGAAAGTGGCCAGCCAAAATAATCTCAATCCAGTGGATTGCTAGGTTAGTCAAATGAGTTTCCATCATCGTCAAATTTATAAACATCTTCACATTTCCCATCTCCGGCCTCTCAGTAGACTTTAATTTTGTTCTTACCACAATGTCTTTGAGATAAGGTGTGATTCAGTTGCATTTATCCCATGATAACATACAAAGTAGGTCAGTAGCTCATCATTAAAATATTCAGAAATTATCATGAAATTCTCAAAAGGAATGAAACTAGAGCTACTATTAGATCCTGCTCCCAGGCAGTGGAAGGAATATTCTAGCTAAAGATCGATATTAAGATTTTAACATGTACAGTTTCTTATATTAAATAAATATAAAGTCTTTCCTTCTCTTTTATAGCAAGTTCTATTGGTGGTTTAAGGCTTAACTCAGACTACACATTCCTGCTCTTTAAAAAGGTAAGAAAAATCAAACTGGACCAAATTGGTGATATTGAATTTCTCCGGGATGAGCCAGCGGGGAGCCAGCTCTGCAGGCTTTGTAGTGTTACTTCATGTTGTCCACTGTATGATCTGCAGCCCAGGATCGTCTACATGGAGGGAAGTTTCTTTGAAGAAGGAATGAAGCTAGAGGCCATTGATCCTCTGAATCTGGGAAACATCTGTGTGGCCACTGTACGCAAGGCAAGACAATTTTCTGGTTCTCCTTGAACAGTTATGGACTAAATAGCATTTCAACCTCTGTAAAACTCCTACACTGTTGTCTCTTCATTTTTTTTTATGTCTGTTACCTCTGTGTCTATAACTCTGCCCACATTCACTTCTCCAGGTGCTGTTAGATGGTTTCCTGATGGTTGGTGTTGATGGCCCACTGTCAGACAACAGCTCTGACTGGTTTTGTTACCACGCGTCCTCTCACGCTATCATGCCTGTAGACTTCTGTAATAAGAACCACCTCCCTCTCACCGTGCCTCAAGGTAAATATATACAAACCCATGTGATGCATGTCCACACACATGGTGCTTCATGAAGTTATGGAGCTCACACTTTGTCTCTGAAACATGTGTCCTGGGTTCTTTTGGTGTTAGTCTGCGCTCATGGAAGATGTCTTTGTTTCCTGTCAGGTTATGACTCACAGACATTCACCTGGGAAAAATACCTGAAAGAGACCAACGCTAAAGCTGCACCGGCACGACTGTTTAACGCTGTAAGACAGGAAGTCCAAACCTGGAGCATCTTTTGAAGTTGTGCTCTCTGTTTTGCGACACTTACACTTTGTTTGCTATATGCTTGAAACTATTGGAAAAAAAGAGGTTATTGATAAAAGTATACACCCAAATACTTAAGGTATATGAATTCAAACATGCAGTTTCTTTTCCCAGGACTATCCAGGTCACGGTTTCAGTGCCAACATGAAGCTGGAGGCAGTGGACTTGATGGAGCCACGCCTGGTGTGTGTGGCCACAGTTAAACACTGTGTGGGTCGCCTGCTGCTCATACATTTTGACGGTTGGGAGGATGAGTTCGACCAGTGGGTCGACCACCAGTCCCCAGACATCTACCCTGTGGGCTGGTGTGAGCTCATGGGCTACCAGCTTCAGCCGCCTCCTGGACTCAGTAACTATATTTATAGTAAAGCCCTTTGTGTTTCAATATGTACAGTGAGTGTCAGTGCAGTCAGCTGGGTTGATCCGCCTAAGTCCATAGACTGTATGTATAGATGGACAACACGTCTCCACTTCCTTTGCATGATCCAGAGGCTGGTGTCGTGTATTTGGAGCCAGCGTTTGTGCTGTAGCAAATGGGATGAAGCCACTTTAGCAAATTCCGGCAAATACACAAGCTCCACCAAGACGGTCTTAGCTGTCAATCACTACGTTTCACCCCATTTTTATAGCATCAAATCCAAACTTACTGGAAAAATAAGTTTTAACTTAAGGGTCCCTCCTTTAGTCTATGTCCCATCAAATAACATTAAGGAGACTGGATTTATAACCTATATCGCAGTCCGCCACCAGGTGGCAATCACGGTGCTTTGGCTTCTTTTTTGGGCAGCAGTCATGTCGTCCATCTTTATTTACAGTCCACGCCTAAGCTAGGTGTTTTCATTTTCATGTTGTTTGAACTTAAATTCAGTTGCTGAGGATGCTGATCAGTGCTGTACAGCAGAGGTGTTTGTTACATATATTATAGTGACTTGTTTTTTATTCTGTTTTCCAGTTGATTTAATCACAAACGAGGTGGTACGGAGCAAGAAATGCAAGCACTTTTATTACGGAAAGAGGAGTACGTTTTGATTCAGAAATGAACAATGTTTTCTGTCATATGAAGAAATGTGAGAAACCGCTCCTTCACCTCCACATTTTTCTTACTAAAGGAAAGAAGTATGGAAGGAAGAGGCTCTCTGATGAACATGCTGAAGATGATGTTGCTCAGCAGTCTGAGGTCAGTGGCCGTAAGAGTCCCTCAGGGCTGTTAGACCTCAGTCTTCCCCCCAGAATGCCTCTCATCCAACCCAAGACTGAACCAGAGGAGCAGGAGAGTAAGTGGACAAACCCATGAACATGCTGCTCAATTTTCCCATTCTTCATGACACAATTTTGGTTAAGGTCTGACTTAATTCTGTCTTTTTAGTCTCTGCAGTGCAGGTGAAAGTGGAGGAGGTGGAAATGGAGATGGAGACACCTATTGATCCTCCAGGCAGAACGCAACAAGTCTCTCAGGGCATTGTCAAACCGGAGGGGGGAGGGAAACCAAGTACATCAGGACAACGTGACATGCCTGCGAAGAACTGCTCGGACAAGGAAGCACGTGAAATGACAGAGAAAAAAAAAGATGCACTTGAAGAGCTGGACTCAATAGACGTGAGTTTCACTGGAGAAAGCAACATGGTGCAGAGTGATAGTGAAAGACAAACACTAGACCAAGAGGAGCAGAGCCAAGAAAATGACCTTCCCATGGAAGAAATATTGGAGCAAGGAGCGGTTCAGGCTGGAGGAATGAAGAGATGAGTAATTTGTAGAAAAGATGGAGACACAAAGATGACAACATGATGGAGAATTAAGACAATGTGGCAGTGAAAAAAAGACCAAGAGGAGACTATGGCGATAAAACAATATCAATATTTATCGCAATATAATTTTCATCAATAGCAATATAACAAAGTCCAATATATATATATCGCTATGAGGCTAATGATGGTGCAAACAGTCAGGAGGTAGAACTCACTATTGATCTACCTTAGATTTTTGCTGTTTGCTCATAAAGAGATTAAAACCTTAACCTTAAAAAAGAATCACTCTAAATGTGAAAGAAATCATTTTGATATTGTGATAATATTGACAGATATGAAAAAATGTATCTTGATGAAATGTTCGGCCATATTGCCCGGCCCTAGAGAAGACAGAAAACAGCAGCCTGGTGTATTCAGAGCAAGATGTACATTAGTAGCGAGAGCTGCTGGTTAGTGATAAGACCTTTGTCCTAGCTGATTTGGCGACAACTACTGGTGGTCGCCACTACTACAGGTCCCACAATTCCGGGACTTAGAGGTAAAAACAAGCAACTGCAAAACTATACAAACCCACACTGTTCTTAATAAGTCAATGAACAATGATTGCAACCAATATCAGATGTCAACAGCGGAGCGTATACCTCAAAATGACTGCATCCTGTTCATAAGTACCATCCTAATCAGTTTTCCTCTATCTCTCCACGTTGGTTCCACTAAACACAGATGCCATGTGTGTCTCATGTTTTGAAGTTATATGACTAAAATGATCTTTCATCATTTTGGGTTGTTGACAAATATTTGTTATGCCTTATTTTTTCTGTTTGTATTTAGTAAATATGCAATTTATGATTTAAAAATTCGTTGTACTCCATTTAAGATTTGACTTTTTCTTTAATGACCTTTACAGCTGCGACTTGAGGTTGTGATGTAGTGGTTAACGATAACGAGCAAAGAGCCAAAAAAGTGTATTGGTTTTTAATCATGGAAAAGCAGGGTGCTAACATCTGTTATAACGACCTTCACTTTGTTCACTTCCTGCTAAAACTTCCAGCCAAGCAGCTGAGGAGCTGAAATCCTTTGGTCAAAACTGCATGACCTAAACTGGGGATGTGGATCTATTGTTTGAAGCATGCTTTAACCCTGGATAAAGAAAAACACTTTTTAACCCTTTACAACATCATTGATCAGGCATCAAAAATACTGCACAAGTTTAATGCATTGACTGATAGGAGGTGTAATAGCCAGTACAGCTTTTTAAGTGAGTTCAGTTAAATGTTTAGCCTCAAAACCTTTGTCTGTGGTCAGTTATTTGAAGCTGTGGTCTCAAAAGAATAAGAACAGAAGGCGGGCGAAAGTCGAAGGTTGTGGGTTCAAGCCACGTTCTTGGTTTTCTTGGCTGCTGCTTGTTTGGTGTTCGGACTCTTGTGATGTTTGGGTTTGGCTTTGAGCATCTTGACGTGCCTGAGGCCACTGAGGTGCATTGGCTTGGGTTTGGTTGCCTTGGGTGCCTTAGCAGGCTTTAGGGTGATTATAGGCATGGAGGGGAGGCTCTCTCCTCCGGGGCAGGCTTTGAAGGCATGGACGTCCTTGACCCTGCGACCCCTCAGCTCAGGGGGATTGCTACAGGTGGCTCGTACCTTCAGGTTTACTTTCTCAATCCACCTAGATGAAGAGGAAAGGCAAAATTATATTATTAGAAATGTCCAGACACAAGGTGGAATGCCTCACACGTGGATGCAAAGCTCAGGGTTTGACTTCATGTTTCCGAAAGAAAGTTATTAAAGGAAAACACCTGGCCCCCACTAGAACAGATTAGTAACTTGTGTTGGCAATCACACTTTTTATGTTGTTGTGGTATAATGTGTAATTAGCAAGCTTTCAAATTGAAATATTAAGAACTGTGCAAGATAATTATTGCAGATGCAAAACATGCTTTGCTCTTTAAGGAGCTGCATACACAACTAAGGTAAAATGTTCAGGTTTGAGAAACTCCTGTTGGTCATTTGCATCTATTCTCAGTGTTCTAAAGTTGTCTTACAAGCGTAGTGGCAGCAGAGGGCAGTCACACATCAGAGGATTGCCCGCCAGGTTGATGACCTCCAAAGAAGTGAGAGGGTGGAGGTCAGGCACCTCCTCCAGCTGGTTTCCCTCCAGAAAGAGGCTTCTCAACCCAGAGCCCAGGCCTGCCAGGGAGTTCTGCGACATCTGGAGTGTCACAGTGATCCCGTCAGAAATATGAAATAGACAAAAGGGTTTAAAGACGTATGAAAAAGAACCCAGAAGTAACAATTATCTAAGATCACCCACCTTCTCCAGTCCCATGTTATCCAGATACAGCTCCTTCAGTGACCTCTCCAGAGGACGAAAAGTGTTTGGACCCACCCAGCGGATTGAATTCCCAGACAGCCTCAGGTCTCTGAGGTTCCCTGTCTTGCTCAGAGCTTCGGAGGGTACCTCCTTCAGCTTGTTTCCTCCTAGGTGGAGCGTATCAAGGTCGCTTGCTTGGTCCAAAGCTCTGGGCGAGATGTGATCAATTGCATTCCCAGTGAGGTAGAGAGCTCTGAGACCCTCTGCACCAGTTAAGATGCCTGACTCCAGCTTGGTGATGGCGTTGTTCTCCAAGTGAAGTGCTAGAAGGCTGGGCACTAGTTTGAAGGCTCCTTTGGGGAAGCTGGTGAAGCGGTTTTTCTCCAGGTGAAGGTAAGTCAGTTGAGGAAGACCTGTCAATTTAAACAACAGGAAGTCAATGTGAGCATTAACACGTACAAGTCAGAATAATGTGACAGAGGGATGTTCTCTAAGACCTTTAAAGGCATCGGGGCTGAGAGAAGTGAGGTCATTCTCTGACAGGTACAAGTAGATCAGTCCCTTCATCCCACTGAAAGCACCGCTTTCCACGTCCACAATCTTGCAGCGCTGCAGGTGAAGGGACACAACCTGGGCGACACCGGGGAAACTGTTGCTAGGGATGTAGTGGAAGTGGTTGCCACGCAGGTCGAGGAGGCGTGTGTTGGGAGAGAAACCCCTTGGAACTTTGGTGTGACTGCGATTTTCACATGAAGAATGGTGCGTCTCAGCCTGAAAACATGGCGGTAACGAATATAGAGGACAGAAGGGGACAAAGCTTGTCATTTGATTTCAGGGAATTCAATTGTCTTTTAATTTTGGACAATAAGGCAGCTCCACAAAAGTGAAGCCAAAGCATCTCATTCACCCCCTGATGGCTGGCTGCAGTAAAGGTCATAAATTCCACCTGCTCCTGTTGATGGGACACGGACCAAACTAAAAAGTCAAAGAACACTTCACACTATTTTTTCTCAAATATGGTTTTACTCATTTTAAGGTCGTTCTTATCACACTAATATTTGTCCAATTAATTAGTTATTTGATGCTATTAAAAACAGTGAAATGTCATGATTGACAGCTGAGACTGACTCCATTGGTAAAGTGCATGTATCGGCTGGACATTGCGGGTGCGAGTCCATCCTGCGATTATTACTGTGCAGACTGGATGCAAATGTGCAGGTTGGCTGCATTTATATCTCATATTTTGGCTTCATTTTTGGATAGTGGGAGGAAATGAAATTTGTCAGGGACAAAGTAACACAAACTCATGCAGCCTGCATTAACTGCATCAGGTTGGGTTTTGACAAAAAAAAAAGTTTCTGTCTGGAATCAGAAAGAAAAATAGGGGCTGAGTCACACTCTAGTGCAGACATGAGAGAGGTATTGACCTTCTTATCACAGCAAAATAGCAAAAACGATCCCAAAAAGTTTAACAGTTGTTCTTAATGTTCTGTTTTGGCCTGAATTTCCCAAATCATATCTTCTTCACTCACCTCACAGACACAGTTGGCAGGACACTTGACTTTGTTCTGTGGCTCTTCAGTGGGCGGTGGTGCGATCCTGGTTGCCTCCTCGAACTCGGCCTTCAGCATGGCCTCCTGACTCTGGCACCGCAGCTCTGGAGGGTAGATGGCCTCCAGGTTTTCTCCAGAGAGATGGGCTGGTCCCCCACATGTCCCCATCAACTTCACCTTGCCACGGATTGCCCACTCTCTGTAGTGAAGTGAAACTAAATGTCAGAGTGGGGATTTGTGCCACATAGTTGACGGAAAGCTGTCGGTTAAAGGTCAGCTCTACCTGAGGGGACGCAGGTAGCAGTTGCAATAAATGGGGTTCCCAGCCATGTTGAGGCGTGCCAGCTTCGGTGAACCTTCAGAGAATGGCTGGATGACACGCAGCTGGTTGTAGCTGATGTCCAGGTGGGTGAGGCTGGGCGACTTCAAAATAGCTGTGTTTGCCATGTCCTGCAGGGACATGTGGTCAAGGAACAATTGGGCAAGCTTGGCCATGGACACTGCCTCTTCCCCGAGGTACGTCATAGGGTTATAACTCAGATCCAGACGAGTCAACTCAGGTAGTCTGGATAGCAAAAGGGAGAATTGTGGAAAATAGTTTGAACATTTTCTCTCAAATCTTAACTGAGAGATCAGGATTAGACCTGTTGAGCATGGGCTCTCCTTCCCAAACAGCAGACAACTGTGAGATGAACTTCAGTTCTCAGCCAAGCAGGTGCACATGGATGACGATGAATGTCTCTAGTCCAGACTTAAATACCCTGAGACTATTGGATGGATCTCTGTGAATAAATCACAGCCCCTAGAGGATAAAGCCTACTGACTTTTCCTCTAGTTCCAGTTTGAGGGAAATATCCATATCTCCTACATGAATACTTCCCTCACATCATAATGAGATTTCTGTACAGCTCTATGGCTGCGAATAGATGCCACTAGATGACAAGCGGTGGAGATCAGGTCTCAAATGTGTCCTCATTGTGTCTTGGGTGCGTTCACTTCTGTAGTTAGAGCTGTCCGCTTGTGATCGGATCTCTCAGGTCAGACATGAGGACCAAGTCTGAACTGAAGCTTACCAAGTGGCCTACCTAGTCATGGTCTCAGTGGGAAAGAACTGCAGCTCGTTGTGGTCCAGACTGAGACGGGTGAGTGTGAACAGACCAGCGAAGGCCTCAATGTCCAGGTAGTTCAGAGAGTTGTGACTGAGACGCAGCCATTTGATGTTCTGCAAGCCCTGGAAGGAGATGAGCATGGATATTTATTCAATGCCCCAAAAACAAGATATTTAAATGTTGTATACATCTTGTGAGTGTCCCTGTGCTTGCACCTGGAAGGCCATGTTGGGGATGTAGACCAGCTGATTGTGCGTAAGGGAGAGCAGGTTGAGGAATCCCAGCTGAGAGAAAGCTCCAGGCTGGATCTCTTCCACACGGTTACGGTCAATCATAAGCTGCTTCAGCGATGACAGACCATCAAACGACTCCTGGTCTCATGAAACATAGACAGGAGGAATGTTTTTATCTTGATCCAGTCAAAGTTGTGAGCAAAAAGGCAAAAAAAGTGATGAAACAAAGGATGGTTGTGAGTACAGCAGCTGATGTGATGCTGACATGAATCTTTTTTTGGGAGATATAGTATAATTTGCATTTGGGTGAGCACCTGGTAGAGGATCTCAATATTGTTGTTGGCCAGGTTGAGGAAAACCAAGCGACCGAGGCCGCGGAAAGCCCCCTCCTTCACCCTGCGGATGTTACAGCGCTGCAGCGACAGGTGAGTCAGGTAGGGCGTGTGTTTGAAAGCCCCAGTTGGAAGTTCCTGGATATCATTGCCTCGAAGATCTAACTTGACTGTGATCTACATAGAAAGGAAATTACATCATAAACGGAAGATGGAAAATAAACATACTGTAATATTGCTGGTAATGTTGTGTTTGTGTGTTTGTGAGAACAGAAACCTCATCAGCATTAGGAGGAACTTGGGTCAGGTTCCTGTTGATGCAGGTCACAGTGAGCTGGATCTGGTCACACACACACTGCTGTGGACATTTAGCTGTGTGTACTGCAGGGACGCAGAAGAGCAGCAGGCAGAGCAGTGGGACCCAAAGGGTGTCAGGACAGAGATGGGAGTGCGTCTGGAAGGGGAAATAACAGCAGTGACTTCATTCAGACAGTTTCATGTGGTGGCAATTCATAGGTGATACAAGGAGGCTCAGTGACACAGTGGATAGAAATGTTGATTTTTCCGTTACTAACAAGCGACCGGTTCTAATTCGATTTTGTTAAACAAATAGATGTACTGCTTACTTACTTGTTGGTTGGTTCGTCAGCAGGATTATGCAAAAACTACTGGACGGATTTCCATAACTTTGTGGAATGATGGGCCAAGAAAGAACTAATTACATTTGCAGATCCAGAAAATCTTTATCACTTTCTTTAATATTGCCAGATAAGGCACTTGGCAGTCTTTATCTTCCCTTAGAGTTACTATCAGTTACTATTCCCTTAGAGTTACTATCACCTTCTCTAAGGTTAGTTTGTTTGTAGCTTGGTTTGCAAGCCTGTGATTCAATCTGTGATGTTCTAAAGCTAAATGATGCCCAGGATATGACAGGGTCTGTTCATTCCCATTCATTGACCATATAACCTCTGCTGGAGAAAGGTGTGTATATTTTCACATTTCCTTACTAAATGTCTGTTTGACTGAGAATATCTCCATCCTTCTGTATTTCTGGGGATTAGTGTGATTTTGGTCGGACTGAGCTGCTGTAGTCTTCACTGGAATGCCTTAAAACCACATTCCCATGTCGGATCAACAGTCTTGATCCACAGGAATGGACATGAAAAGCTTTGCAGCTCCACACTGAAGTTTCCAAAATGTTGACTGGACAAAACCTGCTGCAATAAATCCTGTCAGAGAACGGTGGCTGCAGGAATCGGCATCGAAACCTCTGCTGAATTTCAGTCGTTCATTCATGTTCATTTAAAATCAGCTGTAAGGTAGAAAACAAGCTGATGTGTGCTGGTGTATGAAAACCATTGATATTTTAGCAGCATGCCATTTTTTTTTGTTTCTGTGCAGAAAAGGGGGCCAAGAAACTAGAGACGGAGGAATTTCCTTGGGTCCGACTGTTTGTGTGCGTTCCCCCCCGGGGATCAACAGTGCAGACCGCAGAGGAGCTGCCGTGCCGGCCGCACAAAGACGCACAGTGTCTTTCTCTGCCGGTGTTGTGCCAGAATGATTTTCCTCTGAAAAAGAATGCTTGTCCTCTGGCCAGGGACGGTGAGGGGACTGCTCCCTGAGAACTTGTAGCAGAAATTACATGTAAAGGTTTGGTAGTTTGAATGTATTTTGTTTCATCCGATATTGTCTTGTGCAAAGAAGGAGCTGATTCAAGTTGTGGGAATGACAAAAACCTGCAATACTGTTAATACTTTGGACAACCACCGACCTTTTGTTTTCAATTTCCACTCTTAATGACAACCAGAACATGTTCAGTGTGATAAGGATAAGACATCTAATATCTGATCTGTCTTTAGATGGTAAAATGCGTAACATAAAACAAAAGCACATCTCCATGAGTAGATAATTGAGCATGTTGTTTTTCACTTTTGATCTCTAAGAGTTATCTGATACCCTGACAATCACACATGAGATTTCTGAAATCATATCTTTTGAGCAATTACACCGAGCACAGACTCACCATGGTTGCGCCGTGGCTCCGTCCAGCTGCAGGTCGCTCACTGGCCGCTGACTCTCTCACGGTCTGTGCTCCCTCTGCAGCTCTTCCCCCCGTCTGTCCCCCCATCCAAAACAAACTCAGCTTATCCCTTCATTCACTGAGAAGATCCCCACCCACCCACACACCTCCAGCTCCCACCTCTGCAGTGAGCTCCTTCAAAATTAAGTCATTTTGCTCTTTCACCTCAATGTGACACCAGTTAAATCTCCCTATAAACGTATTTCTTCTACAGCTTCTATACACAACTCTAGCCGAATATTCCGTGTCCAATATTTACAAAATTATCCTCACCACTGATTATCTTACTGAGCACAAGTCACATTAGTTAAGTTTCCTTGAGAACTCACTGTGAGACCGTAGAGCTAATTCCTCTGCCCTGGCGCCACAGTTTCCTTATGAAGCCACATTTTAAATTCACTGGATCCAGATTTTTATTTAGAGCTGCACCAAATTGCGAACACTCATAAATATCAGTCCTCTAATAAAGCCTGTGTTTTTCCAATCAAGATCCTTTCATTGTCTGAGCAATCAGTGAGAAGGTTGAACCTGAACCAGATTCACATTAAAATTGAATGAATTCTTTCCTGACCCATTACACTTTCTTCCACCAGGTTCGTGCTAAAACATCTGGTAGTTTTCATGCTAAATAACAATAAAAACATCACCTCCTTGGCAGAGGTAATAATGTACAGTAGCAGTCCCAGGTATATATGCATGTATATACCCATACATGGACAAGGAGTCAGGCTTGTTAGATTTGTTATATTTAAGACAGAGCATTCAATGTAACAACATAGCAGGTCAACATAATATAAATGCAATCCACACACGGTCGAATGTTATTCAGAAGATTATCTAAATGCCATAAAGTCTATTCCATTTTCCTCCTACTTCCCTTAAATGCTCCCATCACATCACTAAGACATAAACAGCTATATGAGGTAAGACAACTCAGTGTGTGCAGCAAAGTTATACAAGAGCATGATTTTGCAATAAGACGAAAAGATATCAGGTAAAAAACTGGTCCCCGGAGCTCTTCAGTGTTATGACTGTACTCAGTGCAGGGCGATACACACACACACACACACACACACACTGTGTGTTCAGGTTCACGGGCGAGTATGTGGTGCTGCCCATTCCTCATTACAGTCTGATGCACACATCACAGTGCTCGGACTTGACTGGACCTTGTGAGCAGCAGAGTGGTGATTGTGATTGGACACAGTGTCCGAAAAGTTCTTCTTTCACCTCAACATGGAATTTTTCAAATAAGCAACGACAAGAACAAGACAATAAACAGTAGAGCGTGAAAAGCATCGCATCACTAAAACAAGACAGCAAAGTCAGCTCTTTATTGCCGACTAAATTGTTTAGATTACGCATTGTGGTTGTCTTGTCCTTAACATTTGTGTCTCAGCACATTTTCAGTGTGAGAAATATCAGCGAGGTGCAGGTTTAAAAGTAAATCTGTAGCTGTGCTTATCCCAACAGACATTTAAAAAGCTTAAATAGATGCTTTATGTTGTTGTTTGATTGTGACTTTTGAAACTATATGCAACTTAATGCAAAACAATGTTTCACAAAGTGCTGGACTGACATAGGCTAACGTTAGCTCCACTCATGGTTAAGATCACTTTTTAACACATCAAACCCCACGGTTAACTGATGTGTTGTCTATATTTTTATTATTTGTTTCTACATTTTCTAGAAAAATATAAGTCCCAAACTTAAGTAGAAAAATAAAAAGGATGAGATTTCAAACAGTGTATGTAAGGCCATCATAACATATACAAAGAAGATCAGTGGTTATCAGAGTCCCTTGTTCAAGTGCAAAGCATCCCTGTGGGTTCTGTTGATGAAAACAATGATGTCGCGTGTGTGCGCGTGTGTGCGTGTGTGTGTTTTCCAGGTGGAAGTGAATGATTGCTGGGATCAGTGTTGGTCGTGGCACCTCTTCTCCAGGGCAGAGCTCAGCCTCTCTCTGGCAGCACTGCAGGACTTGAGAGCATCACTATTCCTGCAGATTCACAAACAAAAAAAGAGAAAGAATTACCCCCCCTGTGGTTGTGCAGTTTCAGAGCTTTCAAATGTCCCTGAATACATTCCATAAAGGCAGACTTGAGACATCATGTTCCCCAGGCCAGAAACATGTTTTGTGCCAAATGTGAAATAATTCTCTAGATGCATTTTTAAGATTACGTTCTTATGGTAAAAATGGTTTGTGAGTCTTCATAATACTGTGTTTTAATATTGGATTATGAAGTCTTACATTGATATTGTAAAACTTGTGGTGTAAAACTAGGTTTTTTGGTGAAGAGTCTCTCCCTGTGTGTGATTCAGCCGAGGGGCAGGAGACGAAGGTGGACGTCTCTGAATGGTAGATATTGTGCTGGTTATGGATGTAGTTTCATTATAGATTTAAAAAGGACGATTGATTTGAGCTCGGCTTTCCACTCATGAGCGGACCTGACATAGAGACGTCCTAAACATCAGCAGTTCCTAGACTGTTTGAAACACTAGGTGGCGTCATGAGCCTTGTTCAATCCATAAATTAATCAATAACAGCCACATGATTTAGTTTACAGCCTAAAAAAACACATTTAGAGGAGGAATAGTGTCTTACTTGGACATGAAGTTGTTCAGCAGCAGGGCATGATGCTGGGAGAAGTAGTGCTGCTGGACCGCGTGCTCCAAACACAACAGCTGGCCTGGGACCAGCGAAACCTTTTTTATCTTCCCCTCTCCCTGAAACACAGGACAAAAGAGTGAAAGTGAGCATTTACTGACAGATGAATGCAGCAAACAGTGATAGAAAGGAGTCAAACCTAAATCCAGCAGGCACCGTTGGTCATCCGCAGACAGAAAAGGTAAAACTTACATACCAGGGTAAAAAATTGTGAGTGGAAGTAAAAGAGTAAAAGAAGTAGTAAAAGAAGTAAAAGAAATTGGAAGAAGAAGAAGAGCTGGTTGTCCTGCAGCAGCACTTTACCTTCAGGAGTCCCATCATCACCAGCAGTGTGGAGAGGAAGCAGTATGACTGGATGTCTGAACCACAGAGGAGGTTTTTCAACACGTCATCTGTGGGACAAAAGCGATGTTAGGTTGGTTAAATGGCACAGGAACTAACTCTCATCTGGATCCTTCAACACCACATCCGTACATGAACCAATGACAAAGCAACAGTGGCATTATATTCACCGATAGTCTCTAAAACTGCTGTCTTGGTCTCTGGTTCCTCGTTGTACAAAGAAGCAATTTTCAGAAGGACATCAGCAGCCTCATGTGGGTCAGATACATCAATCTGGTGTGAAAGGAGAAGACTGTCAGCATCACATTACATCCACTGTCTGCAAACAACCATCTTTTCTTTTAAATATTTTAAATTCCCACCTGTTGCATCAGGTTTGTCCTCATCTCTCCAAGCCGAAGAAGCTCCTCAACAGAGGGGCAGCTGAGGAAAGACGTGATCTCTGCCTGTCGGAAGTGTAAATCAGAGTTGGTCAATGAAGTGGTTGAACATACAGCACATTGTGCCATTTGTAGCTGTAAAACAAAACCTCAGTGTGAATATGACTGTGAGACTACACTGCAGCAGTGAGGTCCCATTGATACCAATAGAGAATCAGTCCAAGCTGTCAATCACTTTTCATGCTGTTTTCATAGCATCAAATAACTCATTCAAACCAAACTTATCAGAAACATTTGAACATACATCAGTGAGATGAGAACCACCTCAAATGATCTTATAATAAATCTTTGTGGTATTTAAAATGCAATTTTTAGTTTGGTACCATTAACTAACATGAAGGAGGTAATGGATCTGACCTTCACTGCAGCCAGCCACCAGGGGGCAATCAAAATATTTTGTTTTCACTTTTAGGCTGCTGTCATATCGTCCATCTTTACATATGAATATATTTTACATCAAATTTGTGTCGTTCTCTAAGTTTGTATTCAACATATTACCTCATTAGTGTTCTGAAACAAGTCGTGATACGTGACAAAAAACAGTTAAAAAGCTTGGTAGGTGGATTTGTTCTTCATATACCAGCCATCTTTGCAGGGAGTCAAAAAGATCATTTCAGACCCTGGTGTCAACTGTCTAAATACACAAGTACAAAAATATGTTTGTGTGTTTTATGTATCTTACTGGGCTGTGAAGTTTTGCAGGACTCTTGTCTTTTCTGGACACTCCATTTTCCTTGACAATTTCCTCATCGTCTTCATTGTCTTCATTAGAGTCGTCACTCACTTCATCATCCTCATCATCATCCTCATCATCGTCATCAGGTTCTCCCTCATCGTCGCTGCAGTGAATTCAAATGGGCAAAATCTTAATCTCGCTGTTAATGCTGATTGCATATAGTAGTGCAGGAAAAGCACGCACGCACTCACTCACACTCACACACACACACTCACACACACACACACACACACTAACCTGAGTGATGCCAGCATGTCGACTTTGTCCATGTTCTCCATAGTCTCTCTCAAAGCCTCACAGCCGTCCTCTCCCAGACAGTTACCTGTTACAGTCATGTTCACAGTGGTTTCAATCTTTATGACTCTTACCTTTATATAAGCTACATATAAAAAGAACTATATATACAAGCAATGAATTAGTCTTTTTATACATTATTAATAGAACTTTTTTTTTGAGAACAAAGAAATGTCCATATTCAAGTGTTCAAGATTCCAGTCCCACCGTCTAAGTACTTACCGTTCAGATCCACTTTCTCCATGTAAGGTTTGTCCATGACAGCCTGAGCCACCACCAGCGCCGCCGCTTCTGTGATCTCACCAAATGACAAGTTCACCTCCTGAAGAAATTGCACGTACGAGACCAAAATAAAAGAGAGGAAACAGGGAAACATAAAACGCTGAACTTTGATGGTGAACTCACCCTGAGGATCGGCAGTCCCTCTCTCAAGACTGCAGCGAGGGCGATGGCTCCTTCAGAGCGAACCAGACAGTCGCCAAAGTTGATGACCTGGACATTTCTCAGATACCTCAGAGCCTGAAGAGGCACCAGGAGAAAACCAATGTACAGACACAGGTTAAGACACATACATACCTATTCTTCTTAAGGGGAAGGTCTGAAGGTAAACAGGCCTTACCTGGACCATGGCTAGTGTCCCCCTCTTGGTGAAGGTGTTGTCATTGAAGTTGAGGACACGGAGCTCTGGGTTGTGTCGCATGGCTGAAGCTAATGCCATCACACCTGTATGGTTAATGCCATTCTGGGGCATGTGGACTTCCTCCAGGCTGCCCATCAGCTTACATGGAAAAACAGAGAGAAGTTTAAGGCTTAGGAAGACTTCCATTTGAAATCCAGATATTTTAAAATGATGTGGAAAGCTCTGAGTTTTTCAGCACATAAACACTGGCATTGACCCTTATCACCAAAATCTCGTTTTCTTTCCAAGTTCACATCTTCATCTGCATCTTCTATGTTTATGGCTTCTCAGGAAAGGTTCCAGAAAATGTTCGTAGCAACAGACACAGATATTTTGGTTTTCACACATGTCTGAAAGCAGCATGTATTACCAGAGCTGCTAATGAGTTTGAGGGCATGTGTTTTGTACCTGAAAGGCCTTGGCCAGGGCACTGGCTCCTTCATTCTCCAGGCGATTCCTGCCAGCGATGAACACTCTCAGTTTAAACTGAGATCCGTGGGCGGATGATTGTCTATGGCAGTTGATCAGAGCTTCAGCCAAGATCTACACAAAGCATGCACCATAGTTACTAACTGCATGATGGAAAATGTCTGCAGTGATTTATTTTAAATATGGACCATTTACAGAAAGGTGCTATTTGCAGATTCCTTTTTAAAGTGAATGACAGCATGACATCTGTGACTCACCTTTCCCCCTCCGATCCCCATGCCACAGTTGTTGAGCCTCAGCTCTCTCAGGGTGTGGCAGGAAGGGCTCTTCAGCAGCTGTTCGATTCCCTTCACGCCGTCCGGCCCAAAAGCGTTGTCACTGAGGTCCAACTCAGTCAGCCTGGCCCCTGCACTCATTAATGCACTGCCAAGTGACCTCTGAGGAGAACACAACAGAGAACATGTGAAGCTGACAATCAAACAAGTATCACGAAACACATGCTGAAAACCCAATGAACTGCATCAACCAGCAGCTCAAATTCTCACCAGAGCGGTTGGGATTTCAGAGCGCAGCCTTCCAGTGAACATGTCACTCCAGTAGCATCTCTGAAAGACACAGTTTGCAACAGAAATGAGAATTTCAGTTGGCACAAATGCTTATCCTCATGGACATAATAACATACATTTATTGTGTTATTTATGCAAAGTTCTTGTTTGGTTACTTCTAAATCAATGTGAATGTATTGTTATTGTTTTTAAATACTGCTACCATTAGAACACATTAAATGTTCCTTATGTGTCAGAAATAGTGCCAGGATTGGCTCCCACCCTAGAGGATAAGCAGTGTAGATAGTGGATGGAAAGGTGGACAGATGGATGAAGAGGACACCTCCCCTGGTCTTGCGCTACTTGGCCGAGTAAAGCCTAAGTGTGTGCTCTCCCTTCTGGTTAACTGGGATTGGAGATCTTGAACTAAAGAATACCTGGAGCAGGTCTTTGCTCTCCAGAGCCTTGGCGATGGCTCGAGCCGCCTCCACGCCGAATGTGTTCCCCTCCAGGCGGAGAGCTCTCAGACCCTGGTACTGCTCTATCTCACGGACCAGCTCCTCCACTGCGCACACACACAGAACAGGTTATCAGGTGTGAACACAGAACTGGATCCAGCCCATTGTCGTCTACGGTGACCACAAAACTTAGCCTAACACTCTCACCTGACTCTGCGTTGTCCAGCTTCAGTCCCAGGCCTTTGTAGCTCAACTCTCCATCACCGACGTGGGTCTTGGAGAGAGCATCAGCCAGCTGTGCTATGTCATCTGAGGCCATTATGACTCTGTAATAGACACACAGAAGTGTTTTACTACACATATAAACCAACAGATAGAACATTTCAACCCCTGATTATACCGGAAATTGCCACATTCTGTTTAGTGACAGTGTAACAATAAGCAGCACTTAGGTTAGCTGTCTAGCTTCACCAGTGCTAGCTTGTAGCAGTAGTTCGCAACGTAAAATAAGTTAAGATAACCCAGATATAAGTGTGAGTCTGGTCTTTATCAGGTTAATGATCGTGTGTCTTGATCATTCCGCTCTTGTTACGAGACAGAAAGGTTTAACTTACTCTGACAACTCACCACAAACACTCTTTTCCCGGTGAAACGCTGAACTCACGCCGCTTCTTCTTCCGCGCCGGTTACTACACCGCGTGACGTCATCGTGCTGTCGCAGCTTCTTCTTCGTCTATCGTGTTTCCATCAGCCACAAGTGATCCACAGCGGAGCTACCGCCACCTGCTGTCACTGTCTGGACCCGTCATGCTCTGAACGTTTCATTCATAACAGAGGAAGATGGATTTTCTCTGGACTCGCAGTGCAACGATGAACCACGTTTTATAAAACTTGATGATTATTTTCAACCACAAGATATTGATGATTTATTTATTTTGTTCAAAAAAATCACGTCTGTAATTTGAGACCAGTAATTTTTTATATTTCTAAAATATATGATGATGATGATTATTGTTATTATTATTTTTATAATTATCAGAGTAATTTCTATCTCTCCCTCATTCCTTCATTCCCTGCCCCATTCATTTATCCCATCACACCTTGTTCATCTCTTCTCCATATCTCCTTCCTCCCTTCTTCATCTTTCCTTCATCCATCTATCATCTCACCTCCACCTCTCCTTCATCCCTGCACAAACCCGGATGAAAGGTGTTGTAGGAATAAGGTGTTAAAAAACAAAAGGTCGATTGATTGATTGGTTGATTGATTGGTTGAGTATAAAGTGTGTAGTGGGACACTTGTGGTACTTCTATGATACTTTGGCGGCACAGTATATTTTCAGGTACTTCAGTACACACGTGCTTTGTGTTAATTTACAGCAAATGCTGGTTTTTACTTAGATTTCACGTTTTTTTCTGAAACGAACATTTTGAACTTTTGCATGTGTACAATTAATTTCTTTTTTTTTTCCCAGAAGTGGAGAATTAGAGAGAACAGCACATCAGGTAGAAATGATTTCAGAAATAAATAGATAAATAATGACCCATCGGAGCGGTGACTCAAAGTGTCTGCTGCCCTCCAGCGTCCACACCTCTGGAAACTTGTTGCGGTCACAACAGCTAGCGGCTAGCTCCCAGCTAACGTTAGCTGCTCGGTATCCAGCAGCAGTCATAGCGCAGAGAAACTCGTGCTCCGTCCACAAACCAATGACAGGGACACCCAGCTCACAAGCATGCGCCTGGACATTGACTGATATCTGCTTCTTCTCACCGACGCTCCGTGAAGCGGTCTCTCGTCTCTAAAGCGCAGTAACTTCACTCGGTGAGTCGCCCTGCTGCTAGCCGTTAGCTTGGACTCCAAAATGAAGTTAGCTAACTTCACAGGTTGCTGGCTAACACTGGGTTTGTATTTAATGTAGCCGTATGCAGCACAGTGTAAACTAAACAACACAGATTAAAAAACATACATTTTGAACTAAAACTCTGCTTTTTTACATTCCTCCTGTAAAGCTACGATGAAGTGATTAGCACTGTAGCATGTAGCCCGGGTGAGCTAGCAGCGTTAGTTGAAGGATCCTAACCTCTGGTGAAGTCAGGTATCATAACGTCATCTCCACTGACGACATCAACAGCTGGACCGATGCAAACGGTCTATTTTACACGTGTCGCTGATAGCGTCGCGTTTTATTGCTAGTTGCAGACCCGGTAGCTTACATATCAAGCTAACGTGAGCTAATCATTTCCCATAAAGTGTGAGTGTGATGGCTGACGCTTTAAGTTTACAGGCAACACCTCCGGTCATTAAGAATCTGCACTTTGTACGTGAATCACAGGGTAATATTTAGGTGGTCAAAATATTTTCGTGGCTAATGCTAATCGGTTGCCTGCTTCACCGTTAGCTGTGCCCACTGTTTGTTTACGCAAGTCCGGTGATTGCTGGTAGTGTTTTGGTGGCAGGCCCGGGCTTGTCTCGGGACGACTGCATGTAGTAAGTGGTGTTTTTAATCGCTGCAGAAAATACACTTTTCAATCAGGATACACGCGTTTGTGTGGATAGTTTAGACGGAGCTGTCAAAGCTGCTAGTAATGTTGTGCAATGAGTAGCTGTTGCATGCTAACCCCTGTCATCATCACCCTCAGGACATGGATCCTGAACGACTGAAACGAAGAGAGGAGATCCAGAAAGCAATGAGCTTCATCCAGTAAGTGAACCTCTGGTATTGACATCTAATGGCCCCTCCACAGTTAGCTAGTGATACCATGACTGAATGGCCAACACTGACAGCCATCTTATAATTCTGTCAACAGGTCATCGTTGCCTTTTCCAGAGCCTGAGAGTTATGAGGTTTGCATTTGACCCCCTTCATTGCTGCACATACAATATGTTCAATAATCTCTATCATCTTCTTGCTCATTTTGCTGATCCTGAATCTGACCTAATTTCATCTCATCCTCAATCTCCCTCTCTCCTGCTTCACTTGTTCCCATTCTTTTTTCATCATGTTACGTCTCATTATTTCTTAATGTCACCCTTTCCTTACCCCTTTCAACCCTCCCCCACACTCCTCCTACATTATTCAATCTCTCCTTTGCGCGCTCCCATCAGCCATTCCTGACCCAGTTGGTTTGTAACTTGCTGGACGAGGGCAATTCTTGCTATCGAGATGGGGACTGGCGCCAGGCGACCCAGCAGTATGGGGAAGGGATAAGCGTTGCACGCTACGCCCAGGCAGAGGCCCTTGTCATCCCTCAAGAGCTGCTGGAGGGCCTCTATGTCAACAGGGCTGCTGCCTACTATCAAACGGTGAGGGCGAAGGGGCATAAGGTTGATGTGACATCTCCAGTTACATGACAAGATGTTTACATAGATTATTATATGGATATTGGATGACTTTTCATACATCTATTACTGGCAAACCAATTTAAACTGTGGTTCCCAGACAATAAATATAATCACTGGGAAATTATGACATGATTTTATGAGCCACTAAATTAGATTTGGGAAGAATCTGCTTGACTTATGTTACTCAAATGGCTCAACTTTCATCTGTTGTAGTTACAGTTAATTAGTTTCAAATCTACGTTGCCAAAGAAAATAAGAATGCAAACTAGCTTTTTTTTTTAATGCATTTTTGAATCTGATTATTATACTATAAGCAACAGAGTTCATGAAATGTGTTTTTATTCTGAGCCACATAAAGGACACTCAGTTGAAGAAAGGATTTAACACGATGTGGCTACTCATTCCAATCGTAAATTTGAGTTCTACATTTAAAAAAAATCTAAAATCATCTTTTTGCAGTTTCAGTGGAACTCTTTGCAACACGCTTGTGTTTCTGTGTTAAATCACCCTCAATGTTTCCTTTTTCTTTTTCAGAGGGAGTATGAGAGAGGTGATCAGGACTGTGACAGTGCACTATACGTGTCCGAAGGCAGTCGCAGGGCTTTGTACCGCAAAGCACTCTGTCTGAGGGAGCTGGGACGACTCCGAGAGGCCTATGAGTGTGGAACCAAATGTCTCCTCACAGCACCACACGTATGTCAGCAATGAAAATGTTGATGCAAATTACTTTTAACCACATCATTGATAACATCTAGTGTAAAATTACATTTTAATGTTTTCCCCCAGAAATTGGTAAATGGAGCTCGCTAAAGCACTTAAATGAATCCAGAAATGTGGAACAGAAAAGAGAAGTTCAATGTCAGTGTTCATGTTGAGGGTCTTTTTGTACTTTATCTTCCAGGACCGACAGGTAACAGAACTGGCCCAGGATCTGGCCAATAAACTGGGCCTGAAGGGCCGTAAAGCTTATGTCAGCCCTCAGATAGAGTCCACAGCCAGTGATGGGGAGAATCATGGGGAAACATCCCCACCCACTGGAGAGGTGGGTGCTGTTGTCACACTGTAGAGCTTGTGATGTGGTGACTGAACAAGAGGCTAATAGAGTTAAATACCCTCTTCTTCTTTAGATGTCCTCCAATGGGCTGGAATCACTGGGTGACATTGGACCAGGTACAGCAAACAGACAAACCTTGAACATTTCTGAACCCATATGCACACTGATGTCTTACCACGGTTATCCCCTCTTTTTCCATTGCTGTTTCCTGCTTGCCAGCGGACATGTCCAATGCACAGTGCATCCCAGCTCCTTTGGCCACACCCATCCCAGTCAGTGATGAACCGCCGAGCCCCGTAGTGTCCCCATGCACCGATTTGTCAGAGAGCCCCAGCAGCCAGGCCCTGCCTCCCATGCCGTATTCTGTCCCGGTGTCCGAGCACATGGACGAATGCAACAGTGTCATCAAAGGTGAACTAGACAGTCTGTTGGAATGCATCCCCAAGAAAGTCAGTGAGGTGAGTAAAGGACACAGAGAAAGAAAAAAGAAATAAAAGTGTCGTACAGTCTTTCTCTGCAATCAGTCTTTTGAGTTCCATTATTATTTCTGTAAGAAAGGTTGCTTAATCACTTTAACTAAATGGAATTCCTGCTCCAGAATACAGTCCAGGGTGCTATCCCCACCAACCTTCCCAACACGGCGGTTGCTCTCCGGCCACCGTACTCTCCCAACCTTCCGGCCCCATCTCCACAGCTTCCCCCAGCTTTCTTCAGCTCCCCTATCAGTGACATGCCCCCTCTGGAGTCTTACTCGCCGCTGGCCCAGCGGGACCAAGGCTCCACCCAGGCGCAGGACGCACTGGGAAGCTTCTCCGCAGGGGCTTTGGATGTAGAAGGAAAAACAGGAGTCGCCGCTGGCGGGCTGGACTCATTGTCTGAATACACTCTCCCTGGTGAGCTAAGTGATAATAGTCTGTGTATCATTGATGTGTAATGTTGAGTGGTGAGAAGGGTGCAGGCTAAATTTGTTGCAAAATAAAAATGTACATGGATACCTTGCTGTTGCTCAGCTACCACAGTTCCTTGGGAGTTGGCTTTAACCTGAGATGTGTTTCAGCAGTACACTGTGTGAGTCAGCATCTATACAATGTGGTGTGATGTTCTTGTGTCTGTGGCCTTCAGGGGGACGAGTGTGTCACAGCTTCATCCCGGGAATTCGCACCAACAATGCTGCTCATGCAGTGAGTATCACACACACACACATACACACAGTATTCTTCATCATTCTTCATCTCTTGCAATTTAATAGTAGTGTTGCATTAACAGCCATCTCTGACCATGCAGTTATGCTGCTAAGTAGCGTTTTAATCTTATATTGATATCCTCGTCCTCTTCTTTAACAGAATGGTCCGGCAGGAACAAACTTGTCTCTGCTCTCCCGGAACCCCCTGGCAGCTACGCATGAGTTTCGACAGGCCTGTCATGCCTGTTACAGTCGAATAGGTTGGTTCAAGTCCAAGACATCTGAGTCATTTTGTCTTAGTAGTAAACAGCAACTCTTTTTCCTTTTCTAAATACTCACAATTCAATGTTGCAATGTTGCTTTCTCCATCAGCTCACAAACAGACAGTGCTGTCCAAGCATTTATTTTAATCATTAGTGACAAATAAGAAATTCTAACATCTGTGTAACTTAACCTGCTCTTTCCATGTCTCCTTCACAGGTCCTCGAGTGATGGACTACAAGTATCAGCCAGAGGCAGCACATCGTTGCAAGAGAGATGTGCTGTTGTGCCGCCTCAAAAACACAGATGACCCCACCTGGAAGAGGATCCGGCCCCGGCCTGCACGGAACAACTTCCTGGGGGCATTTGTTCTCTGTAAAGGTGTGTTTGGGTTGGGGAAAAAGTAACTAACATTCAGATGCCGCTGACTTGTGTTTATATTTTACTTTACATCCTCACTCTTTCTCCTCTCTGGCTCCTGCAGAGGTGCAGGAACGTCAGGAGTGCCAGTATGGGGAGAATTGTACTTTTGCCTACTGTCAGGAGGAAATTGACGTGTGGACACAAGAGAGGAAGGGCGCATTGAGCCGAGAGCTGCTGTTCGATCCGCTGGGCAGCACAGAGCGACGGGCGCTTAGCGTCACCAGACTGCTGCAGCTCCATATGGGAATGTTTATGTTCCTCTGTGAGGTAAGACCACAGTTTCTAAAGGCATTTTAATGTTGTGCTTTTTGTCGTCTTTCGATCTCTCATCACTTTCCTCTTTCTTACAGGAATGTTTTGACAGTAAGCCTCGCATCATTAGCAAGCGCAGCAAAGAAAACTTATCAGTCTGCTCAAACCTCACAGCTCGACACCCGTTCGACGATAACAAGTGAGCATTTAGTATTTTATATAAATCAAAGTCCCACAATTATGTTAAAAAAACCAGGATGGATGAATACACTTTGCACTGTTTTCCTGTATCATGAAATACTTGTCTCTGTGTCTGCTGCAGGTGCCTGGTGCACGTGGTGAGGTCAGCCAATGTGCGCTACAGTAAAGTGCGTCCCCTGCACCCCCTCTGCCAGTTTGACGTATGTCGCCACGAGGTCCGTTACGGCTGTCAGCGCGAGGACAGCTGCTCTTTTGCGCATTCTGTCATAGAGCTCAAATGCTGGGTCCTACAGCAGGACACTGGTGGGTGAAGCACACACAGTTTAAGAAAAATAATATCACATTGTTCAAACAGGGACAAAACCATTCATATTTTAACTGCAATTAAATTTAATCCAGTAGGCTACACTGTGTTACTTTCTACTGATATTAAGTTTTAAGATGTTGCTATGGAAAAGGTTATGTTGTAAACAAGAGCATATTCAACACCAACAACTACAACAACATTCAAAGTAACATAAAAAAAAAAAAAAACATGATCTATGCAACAGTACTGTTCGTCCCGCCTCCTGTGCGCTACACAGGGGCAACCCCTCACATTAAAGCTCTGAAGATATTGTGACTGAGTCTAATTGGAGAATCTCCTGCTGCGTTCTTCATATGTGAAAGTCAGGACCCTGTTTGTCTGTACAGTATTTCTCAATTGAAATAAGAATAAGAATGCCTTTATTGTCATTGAACAGGGTGTACAATTAAATTATAGTTTACTTTCTATAAGCAACTCCTGTCCGCTTTGTTCTACAAGTGCCACTTACTCTTCACAAGTGGACCAGATGGTCAAATCAACTTCTCCTCATTGGGTCGTTAGGCCATTGGTTAAATTTGTCCCTGTTATAAGTGGGGTTTTTTTCTCACAGAGGAACTCTCTAATATTTTCTTCAGGTATCACCCACGAAGAGATGGTGCAGGAATCCAAGAGACACTGGCAAAGGCTGGAGCAGAATGCACAGAAGCAGCAGAAGGTGAGGAAATTAAGATGTAATCTTGCACCATTTTGTTTTGCCTGACATCAATAGACTTCTTTTTTCATTTTAGTTGAGTCATCTCAAAAGCAGATTGTTTTTTAAGACTGAGTCATGTTGTCAGAGTAAGGCTCTGTCGACAAATTTCAATAAAATCTTTCAGATGGTTGAACTGGATTAGATTCAACTTTATTGTCATTGCACAAGTACAAAGCAATGAAGTGTATAAATGTATAATGTAATAATACAAAAATGTATAATACCTTTCTGCTTTTAAATGTACGCTCACTGTGATGTTGCTCTCATTTAGTGATTCTTCTTTCTAGTACAATGGCTGTGTATCACCCAGAATGCTTTTCAGTTTTGTCCCTGTTAACTTTTTACATCTCTCTTTCTGCGTCTTTCAGCCCATCCATTTCCCCCACCCGAGCAGCGTACCTACAGGTGGAGTCGGAGGAATGGGGGGCGGGATTGGAGGAATTGGGGGAGACGGCCTAGGTGGCGGAGGCGTTGGACCAGTGGGAGGCATTGGGGTGGGGGGGTTGGGAGCAGCAGCAGGACGGGGACGACCCCTCAACCTGAAAATGAAATTTGTGTGTGGCCAGTGCTGGAGAGAAGGACAGGTGAACGAGCCCGACAAGAACCTCAAGTACTGCACAGCCAAAGCACGGCACAGGTGAGAACCAGCTACCTATAGACACGACATTTACTCATAACAAGGCCAGTGAGATGCTGTTTTGTGAATACGATTTTAAAGGCTGACATAAACAAAAGCAAGAATCCAAAAAGCTAAATTAGTTAATGTCTGCTTGCTTGTGTCTCTTTATAAACTTTGGATTCTTTACTTTAATCAACGTCGGCTCTGTGTTTAGCTGGACAAAGGAGCGTCGGGTCCTGCTAGTCAAATCCTTTGAGAAGAAGAAGTGGGTTGTTGTTCGGCCTCTGCCTTTCTCCCGCACCTATCCTCAGCAATATGATGTAAGTTCCTTCTTTTGTTTTTTTTTGCAGTGGTCACACACTCTTTTTCCTCTCCGCTCCCCCCGCCCTTCCACCTCTCACATGTTGAATGCAGCTGACTCTGTCTTTGCCCGGGGGAACAGGTGTTTTTGTGAAACTCTTCAGTCTTTTTGCTATGAAGTGCTAATGGAGGTTTCAGTGTTTTCATATTGGTTTCCATCAGTTTCTACTGGTTACATTCAATCCTTCTTTCAGATTATTTGAATGTTAGTTGATTAAAGTAAGTGTCAGTTAACAAAATAAAGTAGTTATTGTAGGATTAGCATTTTCTAGTGTTTAATTTTAAACCAGGGCTCTGTTCTGCCACTGCAAACTTATTTCCACCGTTCCTTCAGGATTAGGACTGACGCACATTACACCTGTTTGCCAGGAGTATCCTGCCAGGGTGTCCTCTCTCCCCACTCACCTGCCTGACCTGTGTGGAGTAATGCGCCTCAATGCAGTTACGCTGCCAAGGAAGTGCCAGGCTGGGCCACCCTGTTGCAATGCTGCCGTTATCACTCTGTAACCTCCAATGTTTGCTTGTCTCTCACCCAGATGTGTGTGCATGTGATGAAGCAGAAGAAGTGCCACTATATTGGGAACTGCTCATTTGCTCACAGTCTGGAAGAAAGGGACGTCTGGACATACATGAAGAACAACAGCTGTAAGCTCCTGGTTCCACCCCGAAACACTGCAGGAAAAAAATGTTGTGGTCTGATTTGATCTCATGCATTTAGATCTAGATGTCTCATTCTTATGTTAAACTTATGTTATTATTTATCGCAGCAGGCTTATTTTTATTTTTTTTCATATTTGTGAAGGTGTCGTTTTTATCTAGGTTTGTCTTAGTTTTCCAATCATGTCCTCTGGTTCTATCTCATGTTTCACCCTTTACAGTCAACACAAAGGCCTGTTATTGCTCTGATTTGTGAAGTGTCTACTCCACTGCACTGGCTCGTAACGCACGATATTCATGGTTACTGAGGTTGTCTTCCTTTTTTCTCTTTCTCATCCTCAACCCTTTGCAGTGAGAGACATGCAACAGATGTATGAACTGTGGCTGCAGCTCACCAATCAGAGTAGACGCACAGATAGCTCCGCTGTGACGCCGCCTCCAGAGGACAAACAGGTCACTATAACAGCAGATTACACAGAAAGCATGGTGAGTGGGAAATTTGGCCTTTTCTGCACATCCATCACAGCCTTTCTAGATGTTATCTGGAGGTGTATATGTGAACATAAATATTCATACGTTACCCTGCAATCTCCTGTGTATGAAGTCTGTGCACAGTAATGTCCGATTGAGCCGATGTGTTGATAGAGCTGGTCATTGCCCAGGGAACTTGGAGCGAGGCAGCGAGTGAGTGAGCTTGTCTAACCCCTAACTCTGTCTTATCCTTTCAAGTTTCGTGGAAATCAGTAGTTCTTTTGTAATTCTGCTGACAAACAAACAGATTTGCTTTCAGAATCTACTTTATACAATGGTTGGGAGGGAAGGGACCTTTACATTTCAGTTTGTTAATGTCAGTGTGATTGAGTGATGGGCTGTGTTGGTGTGTTTGGTTCCAGGGAGGACGGCGATTGTCAGATGGGGATGACCTCTGAGTTGCCATGGTGACCAGACGCACCTGATTGCCGCTGAGCTGCAGCCAGACACAGACAGGCCTGCCACACCAGCGACTACGGAAACAGCCTGTCACCTTTCCAGTCTGACCTCCGCTAGCAACTCTCCAGCAGTGCAAGAGCAAATGTACACACAACTGAACATTTGACCCCACACACAAACAGACAAGTACACACAAAATATACATTCACACAACACAATACACAATTTTCAGGCACCGATTAACACAATTAGATAGCTTCGTAAGTTAAAATACAGGACTTAGCTTTAGCATATTTTTTGTACCATGCAGCAGTTACACAGCAACTTTAGGTTCTCCTCCAGCACAATATATTACAATCCCACAGACAACTAGTTCTGACGTAAAGAATCAGCTAGTATCCCCTCGTACTGTTTGGACTGAGCAACTCTGTGTCCACTAGCAACCTCTTTCATTTTTGTTGTTTTAAATCCTCGCAGCACTGAAACAGTTCTTGGTTGGGCGCGCTGGTCGCAGCTCTCAAATATCTCTTGGTGATAATTCAAAACTCAGTTGAAGCTTAGCGCTCTAACACAGAAAGTTTAAATCTAAACTTCAGAGTGCCAAAAATGCTAAGTCCTCGGTGCTGTCGATGGCAGTCGAGACTGATATGGAAGAGGTTCTTGGTGGACGCTTCGTCGTTAAGCTGCGTATCAACCAAATCCCACTCTCCTTCTTTTTTTGGAGAATAATGATTTTAAGCATTGTTTTTTTCCGAGGGGAGTTGTACTTCCTTGTTATATTGTCTGCCATATTGGTAGAACTCAGTGAATGTAACGCCTGCATGGGCCTTTAAAAACGAGGAAGTTAGTAATTGCAAAGGTTGTGGAATGTATTTAATTACACCTAAAATGCTCAAAAACAGATGTGTAACATTGGCTTCCCCCCTCTTTATTGTTAGAATAAAAGTCCTGTGATAGTTGTTTACGGAATCATACCAACTGGTCCAGTGAAGAACGAGCCCGGACACACACACACACACACACACACACACACACACACACACCTCCACACATTAAGACTATAGTTGCTGTCGCCCAAGTCCAGGTGAATCAAAGCGTGCTTGAATACCAGCTCCTCTGGGGTTGGAAAAAAAGGATGATTAAAATAATGTTCTGGCAACTAGATCTTAATGAAACATCTGTGGCTTATGTACACAAAGGCTTTAAGTAGTGGTTTGCGGTGTTGTGTGCTCAAAGCAGTGGACAGATGTGAACCTGGTGTCACAAGGCTACAGAGAGGTGACTGCACAACAACACAAAGTCCTGCCTGAGCTGCTCTCAGCAATAGATAAGTAGACATATTAAGAGTTCAGACCGCAGATGCCCACCAGGAAATGATGACCTCACTTGGGCTAAAGCACAGTGACAGTTCTGACCGTGCTGAAGACTTAAGTTGCGTGAAAAAAAGTAAAAGCTTTTGTAATTAATAAAAAAATTAAATCTGCTCCAGATAAACAATGATTTAAAGACTGAAAAGAAATGATAGGGAAAAGAAAGATAGAAAGGATATTTTTTTTTAAGATTGGAGAAGTCGCTGCATCTTCAGTCAAACTGGGGTCATTATTTCACTGCGCACCCACCATGCTCCCTCAGCCTTCAAATGGAAACTTGTGTTCCTCATATGCTCCCAAATGTTTTGTTCCTGATGGCTAACAGTAGCTCTGAGATAAAATAAATAAATACATTTATCGCAGGAAACCTGCCAGCTTTACACAGGGAGACAATTCACACCGCATATTGTGCCTATAAGCAACACACGCACATGTGACACTAACACACACGCACACGCACACACACACACACACACACAGAGGTAGAATATCTGCTGTCATCATATTCTAACCTTTAATGTGGAAGGAGACACGATGGAGGTATGTCTATATTCAGATACATATACACACATATTATGCATATTTACGAATAATGGTATACTACTAATAATAATTGATAACTTAGCGGTTAAGCTTAATAAATATATAACCTGAAAACCTGTATTGATTACATAGAACTTCTTGTTATTGAGGTATTGCTATATGACATGTATCGCTGAACTAGATGACTATAGTGATTTTTTTTTTTTTTTTTTTTAATGATTCTTTTATTTTGTAATTTTTCCTTCTGTGTGGGTTGTTCCAGACCGGGTTTGTTTGTAGGGACTGCAGCGGAGGTAGAAGTTGATTTGTGATGGTTAAAACATTGAGAGCAGAGATGTGGAGTAAATCACCCAGCTCCGAGGGTCATTTTGGTTTTTCAGCAGCTGTACTGTGTGTTCAGAAGCATGCAACATATAGATAAAATGTGCACAGGCTGAACTTTATATTTAAAATATAATTTTTTTTATCCAGGGTGGCTTTAGTTCAGCTTCAATTCCGATGTTGCAATTAAACAGTACTAAGAACCTTATGGCTAACCCTGGGCTACACTAGGTGCGTGTGCAGTGTGTAATGGCCGTGTCGCTGATCTGTTGCGTGGGTTTCTGGTATGACTACTGCATTTCCATGAAGAAAAGCAGCCTATGAATTCAACTAAATACCAGAACTCCTCTAAGTTATGAAATCGGTGCAGGAAGTGTTGCAACTATCAATTTTTGTGACTGTTTGTGCACGCAGAGAAAATAGGCAGCGACTCTCAAGCATCCAGTGTTGCCCGGGCGTAACAGGCGCAAAACATTGAAGTTGAAACAAAATTGTTTTATTTCGTATAGATGTGATAATTAAACCACAGAATCGTACATTTGTTTTGTCCCACCTCTGACTGCAGTCCCACACATTTAGGCCATCGGATAAATACTAAAGAGCTAAATGGTTGTGAGGTCGCAGGCTGTTAATCATCCTGCACCTGAAAACTGACCTCAGATTCTCGGATCAGCATTAATCGTCTCTCAGTTTCAAAGCTTCTCAAAGTTTTTCTGGGATTATTGGTATCAAGCCCTTGTCTGGAACAGCCCAGGTATTAGCTTCTTTGAGGGATTGTATTACTACTACTCTTAGTATTATGATGAATATGATGACGATAATGATTGCTATCTATTGACTATTTCTCTTCTATATGCTATTGATATATGTATGTTAATTGCAATGTATAACTTTCTCTTTATATATGTATCCTTGTATGAATATAATAATTTACAGTAAATATGCATCTGTGTATGCGGCAGTGCACAGCTCCATCTGGGAGGCAGTGAGCAGAAAGACTCCTGATAGCTGCTGTAGTAAGGCTCTCGAGTTTTTGGATCCTACAGGTGGTGACCACCATTTACACAGTATGGTAGGCGTACTATGTATTAACGCTGTCTGAGCTCTGTCTGTAGGCCTGAAGAGAGTTTAAAGGGGACAAAAATAGATAGTTGATGATGAAAGTATATATATTGTAAACTTTCCCCTCTTCAGTGTCATCTTACCAGCAGAGCTCTCTGCTCACTGCCTGTGCTGTGCATCTTTCTTTGTTTTGAGTTTGAGTCTCCGGTCAGGGACAAAAGCATACATAGAGGCCTATATACTCCCGTATAGCGCCTTATTTGATATACTACATCTATAAGATGATACATACCCCTATTGTATAATCCTTCTTACTATATACAGTATATGATACCTGATACCTATTATAATACTTAGACACCCTCATAAGGTAATTTAGATAAGAGATGGTGGAGCTGTTTTTTCCCCTCTGTGGCTGTGGAAGAGTTTGCTGTTGTCAGTGACGTGTTCCCATCTTGTTTTTCAGGGAGTTTTCAAAAAGGACAGGTTGTTAAGAGAGCGCAATATACTTTTCTGATCTTTATCTTTCAAGTGGACGAACAATTTTCCCATCTTTGTTTGAAGTCCTGCGTTTAGAGACCTGCTGAAGTGAATGTTTTGCCCGAAAAAAAAGCTGAACGTTTTAAAGAAGGCTCCTCTTCCATTGTTGGAGAAAGACGAGCATTGATTATATAACACACAGAAAGACATAAAAAAAAAAAGAGAACTTAAAAGTGTGTGCTTTGTGTTTTGTGTGTGTTGTTAAAGGCAAGCGAATCATGTCACTAATTTAAAAAGAAGGCCAGTTGCTGCTGCAGCTGCTGCAGCTTCTGTACACAAAACAAATCTCACGTGGAAATTGTTTGTCAAGAAGGATCTTCCGTCATAACAAACACAGTAGATACTCTGTCAGTCTCACTTATCAAGTACAATCGATTTGCTGTAAAAGTGAGGAAACCCGTCCATGAGATGTGAGGTTTGTCAGGGAATGGACATTGACTCTGCGGCCAAAATGACTGCTTAACTGTCCTGTCATCTGTGGAGGACATTTGGTCTTTAAATTATTCAATTTGTGTTTATCTTTTCTTTTTCCTGATCCCTTATAGCTTAATGAATACTGTGCACCAGTAAGAGAACGTTTTGGAACCTGAAATTTAATAAAAGCCTTGGGCTTTAAATCTCTTTTAACATTGTATGCTGTATTAGTTGTTTTTTCTGACATATGAAGCGTTTTCACATTCTTCTCAAAATGAATGGAAGAGTTTATTCCCCCAAAACACGCTTCAATTTTTCTCATAACTACAATACTGAGTTTGTTAAAAGACGGGGACTGTCAATCAGTGGTGACGTCCTTTCCTAATATCAATTCTACAAGCCTCTGCCTTTAACCTTCCAAGCTCCTCCGAGACTTTAGCACCGGAAAACGTGTGGGGTCTCACTACCTCTATTGACATCACTACAATTGTTGACCCTGTGTGATGTCATGCTGGTGTTTAAGCAGTCAGGCTGGTTTATTTCTGCTGTTGCTTCCGAACCTTTGAAAGTGTTATTCATTGATTTAAGAGTTGGCTTGAAGGTTCTCTTTGTCCATTCTCTGAGTAAAACGACTCATGTCCTGTGCAGTTCTGGTTATTCCATCTATAGTTAAATTCAACGACGCAGCTCTCAGCTGTGAAACACGATTCCCAGTCATTAAGTACTCATGTGACACCCGCCCACCCACACCCATCCCTCCCATCTCTCCCATTCCCAGTAACCTTTATAGTTGGTGTCATTTGATTTGCCACAAAAACACACACACACACACACACACAATCTTAATGAATCTCTTTTCATTCGATTTGAAAATTATTATTGGTTGTTAGAATTTTTTTTTCAACAACTCAGATGAATTAAACCAGGGTTGTAAAGAAGTGGAAAATACAAGGCCTCTTTTTGTACTGTATTTTTACATTTTGTTGTTATGTGTTTTGTTTTATCTTCTTGACTTTGTTTTCTCTTTTCTCCTCCCTGGTTGGAAATTCATGATCACACAAGTGGACCAAATCTCTTGAAAGCATTTAATAAACAGACGTTTTAGAACGAAATGTGCTTTTCCCTTTTTATCAAAGCACACACTTCACGTCATTGGTGGGGGGCTCTGACGTCATTGCATGTAGGTGATGGAACACGTGATTTTTATTCCCACACTTGATTTTGGTTTCATGCTTTTATTCCGAGAAGATTTTGCTCATTGTGACGAAGAAAAAGCAGAATTTGAAAATTATCAAAAAGGAAAAACTGAATATCTCATATTTATACTCTTGATGTTGGAAATTGAGCTCAGATCCCTCCCATTGCTCTTGATCGTCTTTGAGATGCTTTGAAACCTTGACTGGAGACAACTTGCGGTAGCTGCAATCCAGTAGAGTTGATGTTTTAGAAAAGAACACAGGCGAGGAGGTGAAGGAGCTGCCTGCAGAGCTCAGAGACAACTGTCGAGGCACAGATCAGGAGAAAGCCACCAACATTTTCAGCTTTAGTGAAGAGTCACGGCTGCTTCAATGCTGCTTAAAAACAAGTGGGACTGTTCACAGAGCTGGTCGCCTCATCAATCTGAACAATTAGGGGAAAGTGCCTTGGTAACAGAGGTCACTAAGAACCAGGTGGTTAGTCTGAGCCCCAGGGATTTTGCATGGAGAGACTGCAGCACTCCTCTGCCCTCTGGGTTACAGCAGAATGGTCAGATGGAAATCTCTCCTCAGTGAAATCACCTCAGACTGTGAGATTGAACTGTTTGGCTCAGTTCTAAGCAGGATTCCTGCTGAAAACCATCTGACGTTCATCACCTGTTATATACCTCTCCAACAGTGGAGTATGGTCGTAAAAGTGTCAAGCAGTGTTTTTTTCCCCCCCTGCAGCAGGGACAGGGAGATTGGTCGGGGTTGAGGGAAAGCTGAGCAGAGCAAAGTACAGAGATAACCGTAATGAAAACCTGTAACATACGTTCCAACAGAACTTTGCCCCTATAAGCACATACAGTGTACAAACAACACAGGACAGCCTCAGGGACACATATATGAAAGTCATTGTGTGGTCCAGCTGGAACATCTCTGTCAGCGGTCATGACGAAAACTACTTAGCATTGAGTCATGCACAGTTAACATGGAGGAGAGTCAAATCCTGCTGGGCACCAGTAACAAAGCATATTGGCAAGACCCAAGACGTTAGCCTTAAGAAAACGGATCCTGTATACATTCAGTTATCATTAGTTTCCCCAGGAATTTCAAATAGTCCCTGGTTAACTTATGTCATAACAATCACAAATGGAGTATGAAGTACAGAAATATATTCTTAGTAAATTAATATGAATAAAATCAAGAATCGAATGATCACAAATGATATCGTACTGCTGGCAGACTGGTTTTATATTATTAACAGTGTGTCTGTGAAACTACATAATCACAGTATTATGAATGAATTTGTTTGTAATAAGGTTGACTTTAATAGTCCCATTCTTCCGACAGTATGACTTCAATATAATAGTTATATCATTGATATCTTAAATATATATATTCTTTCTTTTTGAAACTCGCAGTGAGCGTATTGAAGCTCCTTTTATGCTCGACGAACTTTATTTTGCGGTTTTGCCAATTATTACTATTTTGTAACTCTGTTTTAACCTTAGGTAATTCGGCCGCGCGTCCTGATTGGCTATCACCGTGATGGACACAGGTCCCGGTTCATCGGCGCTCTTTCCGTGCCTCACCGGGGAAACGCGCGCTGCTGATTGGCTGCAGAAGCGAGGGGGGTGTTGTCTGAGGCTGCTGACAGCAGTAACTTGTTGAGTTCATATGTCCAGCACAGTTTTTTATAATATATTCACAACGACACAGACACCGGGGACCTCGTGCGCTCTTCTCTTTGATTCTAACATTAATGCTTTGATCTGCTCCGGATCAGCTCCCAAACATTATATTCCCACTATTCAACTCTTCAGTCGCAATTTAAAGGACTAAAAAATGACTGCAGAGATCCCGGAGGTTTTCAGGGCTCTTCTTGAGCATCCATTTACTCTGCCGGCCTTTGACGAGAACGGTGAGTGGCTGTCAAATCAAAAATGTGTTGTTGTTGTTGTTGTGTAGTGATTCAAACAGCCTCGCGGGGCTCACTGTGAATCGGTGGATTGATTCAATGCTAAAACGCTGGATGCAGTGCGATCAGCGCTTCGAGACGGATTACTGACATTTCTGCAAAAGACTGCGTGTTTGTTGCGTAATCCGTGCGGACTGCTGTGACCGTGTGTCAGCTGCTGCCCCGTGGCCTCACTCGCAATCCAAAGGTTCAGTCTCAAGGAAAGACGCAGGGACTTGTGGGGCAGCTGGCAGAACAGGTACAGCAGAAACAAGGCTGGGAGCAATTATGTTTGCAAAAATAAAAGTTCGTTCAGTAGTCATGTGACAGGGAATGGTTGCAGGACGACATTCAGGTGGAGAAGCTGTTGATTTTGTGATGTAACATTACACGCAGCTCTGAAACATCACTCTGAAATGGGGTTTTAGTGGCAATTCTTTTTGTATTAGTTGTTAATATTCTTATTTTGGCTGCTGCAGTTGAATGAGATGAAAGGTGATCATCTCTAACTGCCTTATGCACAGGAGGCTGATTAAAGGCCTGGGTGATAAGGCTAGAAAAACATATATCATAATTGATATAAAAGTTTTCATGCTGGTCGCTATTGATAATTATCATGATAAATTCTATTTAAAGAATAGGTTTTGCTCCTGAATGACAAATAATTGATAAACAGACGTAGATCAGTGATGTGTCATACTTGCACACTGTGCTTTGACAATGCATTAACTATATTGGTATATATTGGACTATTGTTGTAATGCTATTGATCATAATGTCCTAAACACTTGTTGAAGAAATATCTTCCCACATACTAAGTGCTCATGGTTTGAAACAGGATAGTCTACTTTACCAAACGTTACACATTGTGTTTCTGCTCAACAAATTCAATCCCCATGGGATCTGTTGATCAGACAAACGAGTTTACAGTTTACCCACTGTGGATTAGCTCAAAGATAACGTTCCTATTGTTTTTCTTCTCCTTGATGTTTTACTGCTAGGAAAAAACGCACTGTTAATTCTGCAAATCCCACCAAGGCCCTTTGTACTTTCACGATTACATCACTAGATGGCTCTGTTTTCCTTATCTAGACCACATTTAAATCTGTTGGATTTTAGGGGCAAGTAATTTAATTAAAACGAGAGGTTTGCTGATGCTGCTTCCGGCCGATATCCTCACCATCTCTCAGTCTGTGGTGGGTTTTCTCTAAGACTTTTCTCAAGAACCTCACAGAACAGACATAGTACACTTCCAAAGTGTGATGGATGTCACAGAAATCATACTTGCCTGTCACACTGTATCTGTGAAATGTCCAGTGTTATGCACACTGTAGTACTTTGGCTACATGATGTTTCATTTGTGCAAACAAACTTATCAGAGCTGTCCGGAGATGTTCGCACAAGCTTCAGTTGTGTTGGAGGTGTCTAAGATTAAGTTTAGGGTTCATGACACAAAGTGATTCTGACGATCTTACAACACAGTAAAATTTTAATATTGGATGAACTGCTTCTTTATGCCAAATATAAAGTACTTATACAATTATATGGTTATCTGTCCACGATCAGGCTGCAGGGCCTGATCAACAACAGAGTACCACTGATCATGACCACAGTCGTGTTGACATAACTTGTTTTTAAAAAATCCAGAAACGTTGCCTGATTATAGACAGACAGATTGTCCACTTGAGTCAAACATTATGTGTCTGCGCCTCTTGACTGTAAATTTCACTGTATATCATAGTAACACAACCCAAAGTTACAAGTGAATACAAAGTGTATATATATGATCAATTTGATATTAAAATCATTTTGACCTCATTAAAAAGGAACTTCATGTTTCCCTGAGGTTTTACTTATGTCTGCTTTACACTCCATAAGTCTCTCAGGTAATTGAACAATCTATCAATACAATATATATATAAACCCCCTTCATACAGGTTAGTGCAGTTCAAAGTGCCTCACAATTGACCGATGCACTAAGAATATGACAAAAAATAATAAAAATGCTGATAATGAATAACCATTTAATAGATTTAAAAGCTATAATAAGAACACAATTTGAGTGCTATAAATATAATAATATTCAATAAAATGACCTCAAAATGTAATACAATGGTTTTGATAGGGACCTACAAAATAATTTTTATGACCCACATATACCTGTGCCCCTGGGAGTGCTCGTTCTGACCACTGCGTTTATCTCAAGCTAACCTAAACCTAATCCTAAATCCAAATCTTAACCTACAAACAGCCCTTTGACTTTGTTAGGGCCAGACAAAATGTCCTCACACTTATGGTACTGAACCAAAATTGGCGCTTAGAACTATAAATAGACACACACACACACACACACAAACACACACACACACACACAGACACACAGTCACACACAGCTCAAACACGTGATTTCAAAGTTGAGGTTTTGTAACCCATGTTCTCTAGTCCCTAATCCCACCAAGTTTGTGTTTACAGTTTTTTTTTTTAAAAGTTTGTCACATCTCATAATGACATTTAACTGTGGGGGAATCATTTTGACTAATGAAGTGGAGTTTCATTGTGGTAAATGACAAAGCTTGGTCTGTGATGTAAACCCAGCAGCCTTGGCTCGGCTCATGTGCTCTTATGCAGCAGCGGCTGACCTTGAGGCTCTTGACTCTCCTTGCAATGTTGTGCCAAAAACAGATCCTGTGGGAGAAATAAAAGCAACATGTGAACAGCGCCACCCTACAAATACTACCTCCTCATATATCATGTGGATAGTGGCCTCAGGTGTCTTTTACAATTCATCCAATTCATCCAAACAGAGTTTGTGCAAATTGGAGCAGATCCATATAAAAAGATGCAGGTAGTGAATTTAAATGTGGTTTCATAAGCAGATTGCTGGGCCTTGGGGGAGCTTAGATGAAATAAAACCAGATAAGATAATCCTTTATTAGTCCCACAACAAGGAACCGTGTTACAGCAGCAAATAAGGAATAGTGAAGAACACTTAGTTAAGGTAATAAACAAGTTTTAAAAACAACACAATAGACACACAAGGAACTATTAAAAAAGTAGAATTATGTAAATGATGAAATTGTATGCATGGGAAATTGCAGTTAAATAAATTGAAAACCTTGAGTGAGATGTGTTCTGCTGGGATTCGTGCTGACTGTACTCTGAGGGACACTCCACTTTAATTTTGCAAGTACATTCTGTTTTTGTTTTTCACCTGAGGAATGCAACATTCAGTTTAGTGTGGGGTTAGTTAAACATTTTACTGCTCCACAATAAACAACAAGAACTATCATCACAGCGAGCTGAGGCTGTGTTTGTGATCCCCTCCTGTTTTGCTCGGAGCTGTGCGACTGAGGACGTGGCTCTTTACCCTTATAGTCTGTCTCCTTGGCTGCAGCGGTGAACCCATCCTCAGGGGGCAGCGCGGGCCGCCCATCGTGAAGCTCCGGCACTGCAGCGCCACCCTTCGTGCAAGTAAACGAAGCGGCGCAGCTCCAGTGGGCGGCGCCTGTAGATATGTAAGAGCTGCAGCTGCACGTGTGTACACATGTGATCTGTGTGAGCTCTGCAGAGTTAGATATAAGATATAAGAGTCAAGATTCAAGATTCAAGACTCTACACTCTATACTTTATTTGTCATGTGCACAACAGCTACATACAACAGTCGTTGGCAATGACATGCTTGAGTCACAGGCTCTCTTCTAGCCATGCTCAAAAATATTGCACAAGCAAAAAATTAAATATAGAATATTAAAAACTAAGTACAATATATAAAATAAAAATATACACCTTAAATTTAACTTGTATCATGTCTTTATGCAGAGGATTTCACAGTATGGCAATTGCACCTCAGGGAAAGTTGTAAAACATTTCGTGTTTGATCCTCGATCGTGGAATAAATAAATAAAACTTTATTATGATGACAAACTTCCATAGGAGCAGTAAAAACAAAGTGAATCCACATCTCATACATGAACTGTGTCAACATGTTTAAAGCTCCTGACACGTTTTTCCTCCATATGGAACATACATAACTTGTCAACCAATCAGAGCCGAGGTTGCTGCTACATGTCAATTGCTATTGGCTCGCCCTCGTAAACCCCGCCCTAGATAGAGCATATACCAATCAATATTTATGAGGACGCGGCTCTGTCAGCCAATCAGCTCCCGGTCTGGGGACGTGTTTAAACCGGTAGTACGGACTGTGTCTCTGATGTTCAGAGGAAGTGGGTCATCTCGGCGCTTTCTCCGGTTCCATGTTGTTGTCCAGCGGGAGTGTTTGGGGTTTGTAACCGGCAGAGGAAGCTCGTGACGACGGTAAAATAAAACAAGAGTCGGGAATTGAAGTTTTTCTACGTTGTTCTCGTCGAAAAACAACAAGAGAGAAGCGGAAACATGTCGGGAGAGCCGATTGTTATCACACTGGAAGCGGCCACCGGGGCCCCGAGCTCTTTCCCGGTGGTTTTGAAGAAAATAATGGAAATGCCTCCGCCGAACATTCTGGACGGGGACGACGGTAAGAGCAGCGACACCGACGGACAGGAAGCAGGGATGTGTAGATCAAATAAAACAAACAAGGTCAACCGGAGAAACGACTTCGGAACAATGTGTCCTCACAACAGTGTTAGCGCTGCTAGGCGAGTTAGCATTTGTGCTACAGTACCAAGTTGTGCAGTGGCGCTTCGTGTGAACCAGACTCAAAGGCCTCTCCTCCACTTCCACTGCTCCGGTTACCATGGAGCACTCTTCCTCTGCTGAGATCACAGTGTAGTTTCTTAATGGGGATTTGTGATTATGGAAGTTACGTGTCAAAGTTTGTGCTAGCAGCTGACTCTCATCGTGTGCCATTAAGGGCTTTGACATTGCAAAGCTACGTAGAGAATAATAAAGTGGATGAGAGAGAGAGTAACAGTGCAGTGGAAGAGATCATTGATGCATTTCTCTGAGAGCTTGTCTCACATATGAGGAGCTGAAAACCTGAATGCTGCCTCTCCTTGTTCGGCTGTGACACTGGAGACTAAACCCAGACGAGCACTAAATCAGTCAGTAAATTATTCAGAGCTTATTAAACCAATGAGGACGTCTATTCTGTGACCGACAGGGAGCCAGTGTAAAGATCTGGACTCACCAGATCGACTGTAGCCTTCCAGTCAATAATAATCCAAAACAGGACTTCATGTGATCAATCTGAAAAGTGGCAGTCAAGATATCCGAGGTGATGTGTTGCAGATCTTAGCAGCGAATATTAGTTGTTCTCTATTCACAACTGTTGCTTGTTTTTCTGAAAGGAGATTCAGTAAAACCAAAAGTAGTGTTTTGTGGCCTGAGGCATTTCTGGATGTAGGCTCTTTAGCTTAAGAAAACTAAGCAGGCCCTACCTCCTCAGTAATGATAACCGTAATCAATACATTTTATTTCACACCACCTTTCTGGAAACCCGGTGAACCCTTACAATATATCATAGATAAACAAATGAATAGTTAAGTTAGCAGCTGTCCTGTTGACCTCCCTGTGCTTAGACACAAACTTGCCCTTTGTTGACATGTCATGGCAAGCACATCTAATATCTGTGAAAACATTCTTGTGCCTTTTGCTGTGTTTCAGATACAGACAAAGAAAAGCTGTGTCTGGGAGATGTCGAACTCGGGGGAGGGGGTAGCGATATGGGTCCTTCAGCCGCCTTGACCCCTGCTATCTGGGAGAAGACCATTCCTTACGATGGTGAGAACTTCCACCTGGAGTACATGGACCTGGAGGAGTTCCTCATGGAAAACGGCATCCCCACATCGCTTGACGAGGTGCCCTCGAACAGCACCTCAGAGGAAGTTGTTGTGAAGAAAGAGAAAGTTAAAGTCATCAAGCCGACAAGCGTGTCCCAAGCGGCCCTGCTGCCCATTCAGGAGTTGGACAGTTGTGAGGAGGAAGTGGTGATCATCACCAGGGGTGACTCTGAGTTCATCTGTGATGTTACAGCAGGTAAGTGGGGACTGTTTAGGAACTATGGGGCTGCAGGGGTTCACTAACTGTTGGGAAGATATTTTATACAACAGGAAACCAAGTTTAATTGTCACAGAAGCAGAGTTCACCTCAGTCAGCTAGGCACCATGACTGTTTCTTAGCTGAGCAGATTGAGAAACACGATGCTGGCTCCATCCCAGAATGTCACTTTACTGAAATTGATGCACTTGTTCCTGCATAGCTAAGATAACTAAAGGGTTATCAGAAGACTGCACACGTGACAGTGTCAGAGCCACTCGCCCACCCTGCATACACCATGGAGTTAAGAAAAACAATACTAGCCTTGGTCAAACAGTATGCTTGGAACTGGCTAATTCCTGCTAATGATTGAGGTTTGATCTGCAGATAACATTTCACTTTTCATGTTCCTCCCCTGCCCGCCCAGAGGTGACCACTGAAGAGGAAAGAGCGACCCCCGAGCCAATCGAACCCGAGGAAATCGAGGTCGATATCAACTACGAGCCAGATCCCACAGATTTGGTCCTGTCAAGCGTGCCCGGGGGCGAACTGTTCAACCCACGCAAACACAAGTTCTCCGAAGACGAGCTCAAGCCACAACCTATGATCAAAAAGGCCAAGAAGGTGTTTGTGCCTGAAGAGCAGAAGGTATGCAGGGCGAAGCAAGGGTAGCCACTTCAATACAATACAGTACCTGGGTAACAGCTTGTTTTCATTATGTGTGTGTGTGTGTGTGTGTTTTATGGAAAATAAACAAATAAGAAAGTCAAACTTCAGCATAAAACAGGACTTTTTGCAGTTGTGCACTGAAATTAATTTACATTTGAAAACATTAATTTTAACGTAACCTTTTTTTTGAAGCTTGAAGTAGTGAATTAGTAAAACTTCATGCTCAGGTTGGTTTGTGCACAAGTCAAGGTGTAATATTTGGTTTCCAGTTTATCCAACTCCATGTTACAACAACAGAAGGTTTCCCATTCTTACAGTGTGACGATCATGTCGACCATAACTCAAAGTGTCTTATCAGACCACAGTGTGATTTGAACTATGATAATGTCCCATGTTCTTATGGCCCCTTTATTTACATGATACTGTAGTGTTATAAAATATAGAGAATAAGACTAAGGACTGTTTATCAACCTTAAAGTTTAATACAAGTTTGTTAGTTTGATTGGAATTCATCATCCACTTTATCGCTACACAAGTGGTGTGAGAGCTTCTAGACACAGCAAAGAAAAAGGCTGCATCATATTGTCTCTGTTCTGGCGACTGACAGTGACTCAGCAGTCACACAATAGGCAAACCGATCATTTCCTTCTTTTCTATTCCGCCAGATGACTGCAGATTTGTTTACAAGCACAAAGGAGCTTGGCTGTCAGCCATATATCAAATTTAGCAGAGGTTAGATTTGGGCTAATGCAGTGAGAAAATGACACATGATGCTTTTCAACCAAGTTACCTTTGTAACTTCATTTTAGTGAGGCAGGGTATGGTGTTGTGTTTCACTGATTCAGTCTTGTTTTTGTTGTTTCTTTCTTCTCGACCTCTCCAGGATGACAAGTACTGGCAGAGGAGGAAGAAGAACAACGTGGCGGCCAAACGCTCTCGCGATGCCCGCAGGCTAAAGGAGAACCAGATCACTGTCCGGGCGGCTTTCCTCGAGCGAGAGAACGCAGCGCTGCGGACGGAGGTGGCAGAGTTGCGGAAGGATTGCGGCCGCTTCAAGAACGTTGTGGGACGTTACGAAGCCAAATTTGGAACACTGTAAGCAGAAACAAAAACCATGAATTTGTAAAGAGACATCCATATACACCAACGCATCAGTCACTTTGTTTTTTATGTGTCAGGTTAGAAACATTGTTGAGTATTGTTTGTCAGACGTGACTGAAAATCTACCAAATATAAATTACGTTAAACAAAGCTGCTGAATGTAAGAGTAGAGGAGATGGGGGGAGGTAGTCCTTTGATGATGGTTATATCTGTGTTGGCGGTTGCTCTAAATACACATGACCATGACCCCCCTCCTTGTTGAGTCTGAAGATACACACGTGATAGGGTAGATATTGTACTAAAGGACATTTTATTGACTTGTCCTGAAATAGAGCTGAGTGTGATCGTGTGTGTGTGCGTGCGTGTGGATTTAAATAGAGCTGAGTGGTAATGTGTGTGTGTGTGCGTGTGTATTTACTATAGACTCCCATTATCAAAAATATCCAGGATATCAAAGCTGCTGTATTTACTCTACTTATAAAATCATATTCTTCCTATATGCTTAATTCATCACACATTGGTTTATTCATTCACTTACAGCAGCTGAATACATGAGATTTAACCAGGGAGCACAAACTGAACCCTGTGATCGTGTTAATAACGCTCCCGCTGCATAATGTTGACCTCCCTCCCTCCTCCTCCCTTTGTCATTCAACCTTCTTCTCTTCTCTTTCAAGTGAGGCGTCAGATGACCAATAGACAACCCCTGATTTATTTATCTTACGAATTAATAAATCAAAACCACTTTGGTCGATTCGCAAGAACACTCGAATCGATCGGATGAGGACGAAGATGAGGAAGACGTGTGAGAGCATGACTGTTGTTGCCATCATGTAGATGCAATAGCACGTCACAACCCGATATCAGTTTTTTTTTTCATTTTAATGACTTTTACCACCAGTGTGGGTGAGGTGAGATATTCAAGTGCTTCTTCAGTGCACGTGTATCATGACGTGTACTTTCATCATGTTTTGTATGCCTTTGGCCAAAAGAGATCGCCTGTGATGTTTTTATTTTGGAGAAACTGTTGGTTTCAGTTGAATTCTGTAAATGAGATATTCACATATTTAGGTAGCAGTTGCAATAGTTCAGACTAGATTCTTAGTCAGATTTATGATATTGTACAAATAAACAGATCTTTACAGGTTGCTTCCATTTGTTCCCGCATTTTATGATTTCTGCTTTTTTATTTGCATTTACAGAACACTCGGCTTTTCTTCGCTCACAGAAACATTCTGACTCTGGAATTTCCAGTGACTTAAGCTTTTTCAGGGGACTTCTGTAATTCAGTCATGGTCACTTCTCTACGTGAACACGTTACTCCTTAACCAGCAGTACAGAGGTGTACACTCTGTCCTCCCTGTTTCAGTGTACTGTGCGTCCTGCTGTCTTTCTAGTGCTGTGTCCGTCACTGATTAGGACGCCTGCTCAGCTCTCTGCAGGTCGTAGTGTTGACTCGTCCAGTTACGTCAGTCTCACTTAAGAAGTGTTGTGCATAGAATCCATTAATGCATGTACTGTAAATAGTTGTAGCCTAAATTTATTCTTTAGAAAACTTTTTCTCCTCGACATTATACAACTGTTTTCATTCACAGGACATAACTCCCATACTGTGCCAGTCAAGGCACAGTTGTTGGAGATATTAAGCAGTTAGTGTAGATTTCCTTTTACCTTAGCATCTCCTGGTGTCGCATATTGTTGGCCCTGAAAACACAGACAGCTGTAATGCTTCTGCTGCAGGAGACATACTCAAAGTCATCAAGCTTATTTTTATAATAAATTTAGAATTAAATCTTCTAGATATACAACTAAGTCAAAAACCCTTGACTGGAACATATGTATATTTACAGTGTGTATTGTTTTTTAACAGACTTACAAACCAGATTCTTTAGAGGACAGTGTCTGTTACCACCTGATTTATTTGTCTGTTGGTTTTATGCTATTTTTGACAAACCAGGAAGTCTAGATACAAACTGTAATGTAATCTCAGTGTCTTTTTTTTTTTTAATATCTGAAGCCTTTCAATGCAGTTTGCCAGTTTACAGAGGAAACACTGTTCAACATGACGTCTGATCATTTCACTGTCCAGTTCAGACAAAAGGGAAAGACGCTGTTATTTTGCTGCCATGCTTCCACCTATAGACGATGTCCCTTTAACAATATAAATTCATTATTATGCTCTTTCCATGTTGAAAAACAAATATGATAGTTTGTTTTTTTAGCGTTAGAACCAGTAATACAGATTCATCTGTTAGTGCCTCTTCTCAGTGGAGTAAAAATCAGGATTACCATATTCATCTACATTTATGGTGAGGAGACCATTTTACTCCCATCCTTGTTGATTTCAGTAAAGAAAGAATCACACTTTTCATAACAAATCAATCACAATTTTAGGTATTATTTAGCAGGTAATGATGTTCTTCCTGATTCCTGTTTTAATAGTTTTTTAATGCTTTTGGAGATTGTATCCGCTCTCTACCTGGAACAGGTCAGTTTGTTAAAGTTGACAGGTTCTTTTCAATCCTCCTGGTTACATCTTTATAAAGAAATGTCTTTGCATTTTGACTGTGGCTACCTTTGTCCTGTATATACTTAATATAAATAAAGCCTTGTTGAATAAGTATTTTCCTGTGGACATGTTTCAATCCAGTTCATTCATTCAACATCCAATTGATGAAAATAGTGAAGAATCATCTGACAGGGTCAAATTTCAGAAAAAACTGACATAAATAAAGCAAATACAAAAACATTAATTCAAATTCTATTCATTTACCAAGGTTTCATGCATGAAATGACTTTAAAATCTTAACAGATTCTTTAGTTATTCCCCCGATCATTTTAAGTCACATTATTATTGTGTCTGGTTCTCCACTATCTGAACACAAGTCACTCAGTTTTCAGTCCAACTGTGCTGCTGCAGTGAAAAGACGTAGTGAAACACTGCCCCCTGCTGGAAGAGGCTGAGGAAGCTGTTGAATGAAGAAACTGGGTTGAAGGTGATTCAGCTCATTATCTAAACAGACACCATCTCATAATGGAGAGCATTTTTGTCCTAATGGATTAAAATGCATGTTTACTGAGTTACATTCTGCAGATGGAGATCAAAGTCTCCAGGACATGGATTCATTGAACTTGGAGCTTGCACCTTTCATGGACAGTTTATTTCAAGTTTAAGAATTACTTGTAACTCAATTGATTCTTGTTTTAACGTCAGTGGGTAATAGCACATTGAACAACCCACTTCTATGTCTAGTTCAGAGATTATTAATATTGAGCGCTGAGTGAACAACCAACACTGAATACACAAAACATTCACAGTGATAAAGGCAGAAATATAAAACTGATTTTTATTGACAAGTCAAAAAATGTTTCTTGAGGTTTCAAAGAAAGTCTGCAAAAGCTGAAAAACTAAAACAGGGACTCTGCAGCAGCATCTTCACCTCTTCTTGAAGCCGTACTTCTTCCTTTCATAAAACAGATCCGTTTTAGAGCTGCCCAAGTTTACAATCTTCGGACATCCATCTCGCTGTGAGGACAGGGAAAGAGAGAGTTAAAAGATTTTCATCCTAAAGAAGTAAAATTAAGTTTCATATTTAGGGCTCAGTTTAGATTTTACTCACACAACAAAGAAAACAAATCTCACAATTTAATTTCTCAAACAGATTATTTTCCCTTCAGCCACTTTACTCACATCTTTCTCCTGGATGGTGCACTCTTTACAGTAGTAGGCATCAGACACACCCGGCCCACCACAGATGACACAGCGTCCCTGGTAGGAGCCGTAATTACACTCGTCACAGATGCGCACTAGTGTGCACGGTCTCACATAGGAATCACAGATGACGCACTTTCCATCACCTGAGAGGAGCAGGGAAATAAACCAAGAGAAAAAAAGGCAGTGTTGAATAAAATTTTTAAATCATGACACTGATAAAATGTAATATTTCAATTGGGGCCATTACGTGTCAAATAATCATCTTGATGAAATGTATCATTCTGATTTGGTCCCAGAACAATATGGAATTCAAATGTGTCTCAAATCCAAATCAAAGTAGAGATTCATTTTTACAAAACTTAGATGACAATGTCAGTTAAACCTCCAGGAAGCTTGGTCTTTGGTTTTTGAGTCGATGCTGTGATTATTAGTATCATTATCCAAGAAGACATTGCATTACTAATTCCTTGCAATATTGTGGAACAGCAGTTAGTGATCAGTGGACGGTGACTGTAAATAAATAAATAAATACTACTACTGCCATTGTTACTACTACAGATGTGAGAAATAATGAACAAAGATTTTTGACAGCATGCAAAAACATTTAGTTTACAAACAGAGGAAAGATTAAGATAACGTTGTGTTAAACACAGACGTGATCACTTACATTTCTCGCAAAGTCTCCCGATAGCTGAGGAAAGAAAACAATGCAGTTAGTCAGTGTGTGAGTAAATGAGAATCCTTACAGTCTTTCTACACTCGAGTAAAAACTACAACTTCTTCCTTGCGCTTGTAATAAAACTCATTATCAAATACGATGACATGAAACAACTCTCGTCAACATAAGCGACTGATTACTGTCGACATTTCCAGGCTAGCACCATCGGCTAATGTACTTTCAATGGAATACATGCTGGGATTGTTAGCATGTAAGCTAACCTTGTTTAAATACACGGCTGCGCAGCGGTTAAGTACTTCGGGAAACTGAAAAAACAAAGCTGCAAGATGACATTTAAGACCGGACAGGCCAACACGTACCAACACCGGCCTGTTTTCTGCAAAAGATCAGATCTGGATGATGTTTAGCCATTTTGTGGCTAACGTAAGGAAAGCGCCGCTGTTTCTGCTTCTTCTTCTACTACTTCTACCTTTGACCTGTACACTTGTTGGAGGAAGTAGACTACCGCCACCTGGCGTCTCCAAGCAGACAGCGCAGACACGCGTATCATCGAATACATTTTAAAAAAATCTTTTTTTGCATTTCACCTAAATTTAGTTAAATGATTGATTTTTGTTCACAACTGTAACAGTGTTACATTAAATATGTAGTTTTATCTATTTAAAAAAAGTAGACGTAAAATAGGAATCATTCTTTTCCTTTCAGCTTTATAGAAATCAAATACATTTTAAAATCATTTCGCCTCCACGTAATTTTCTAATTCATATAACTTGGACGTAGAAAATAAATTTAAGCAATATTACGAATTATAAGCTTAAATGTGTTTTGCAAAACAATTTGAATGAGATTTAAAATGAAGGAAAAGTATTTAGTCCTTGAAGGACCTGCGGGGCCGCGATTTAAATAGGCGTGACGTCACTTATGACCGGCACATCTTTGTCAGTGAACAAAATGGCAACCTACTGTCTGACCGTCTCCAGGCTGCAGGTAAGACTCTTTCTGAGATATTTACGGCCCAGGTAAAGATGTCACCTGCTTCTCTACTCCACCGTGTTGTGCAGTAATGTGTCTGTGACCCCGCCGGGGGACTGTGAGTGTCAAACACCGAAATAAAAAGCGCTGGAGCGGTCACCGGCTAGCGGAGCAGGTCATCGTGTCATCGTGGAGGATCCACTGCGCAACAGCTCGTCTGTCACCGGCGAAAACCACCACTGCGGACCTCTCCTTCAACAAGGAGCCGTTATCTATACCCCCCGCGTGTCCACGAACCAGGCCTGTGCTGTTTGACTCCAGCAGGGTGGTGTTGTGCAGCAAGGTTAACCACAAGGTTAGAGCGGCCAGCAGCCTCAGAGACGAGCTGTGGGCAACACGTAGACATGATTTCAGTGAAATCATCACGATCATCACAGCGAACACTGTCTTCATGCTTCATGTGTGAGGCTGGCAAAAGAAAAGAGACATTTCCTTCATTCTGCCGCTGAGGAGAGGCTGAGTGTCCTCCAGCAGTGAGACATTCAAACAAGCAACAGCTAATTAATGATAGCTGAGCATCTGATGTCCAAACCTTTAATATCTGAAGCCAAAGTGACCTCTGATTGTTTTTGTATTGGAGGTCACGGTGGGTTTCCTCTCAGGCTTGGTGATGGAGGAGAAGCAGAACAACCTCCTCTAATATCTAGAATGAAAATCTTTCTATGGATTAAAACAAATCACACGTGGGCTAGTGGTTAATGAATGAGTAATAACATTAACTCTCGTCGTTAAGTGTTGTTGAGGGGCCAGTAATAGATCTGTAATATAAACCAGTGCACAGAAGGACAGCTGAAAGGTCAGGCTGGGTAATAAGACAATACGGATACTTATTGCAATGTAATTGTCACCAATAGCAAGATAACTAAAGTCGAATATCTGTATGATTCCTGAACATCGTGTGAGCACAGTGAGGAGGTTTAACATATAATTCATAGACCTCAGATTTATTCAATGTTTTGCTGTTTGTCAAGTGTTTGTCATTCTCTGCTCTTAAAGAAGAGGTGAAGATCACGACCTTCACTCAGGAGCCAAAATCAGTGACATCTATTGTGACAGCTATCGATATGAACTTCTTTATATATATGATTTTTGCAATAGTACATTTACACCAACAATCCGCCTCAGTGGGAACCCTTATTTGTTCTGTGATTATTATCTGAACCTATAATGAGGTTTCTAATCCATGTATGAAATTCTTATTTGGCTTCTTAAATTGACAGCTGGATGACTGTAGGTTCAGCTGCTCGCTGTCAATTCTTTCCCACAGATTATCTGGTTGTACGACCCCCTCAGCTGTTTGACACGTTCTTCTCTTGTGTCTTCTTCTGGAAACTTTATTGTTTCAAGAACATTTTCTGAACAGTCTTGCTCTCATCTGCCAATAACTTACTTATATAATCATACATTAGATCATAGTATTTCAGAGTGGAGTTTCTTTTATGTGCCCTGCCCATAACTTCTCTAACGTGTATGACAGAAAAGACTGCAGGAGCAGGAGTGGTCAGGGGAACTGGAGCCAGTATTTCCACAGAGTGGGAATGTGTTAGTGGTTGACCTTAGGGTGGTTTCTGGTTCACCTGGGATGCTCTGACATATGACACTTGAGCGTACGCTGCAAGTAATTTCATTTACAAACTATCGTCCCAAAAGTTGTTTTTATTTCTTATTTTTGTTGTCTGCACTTTTAGTTTAAAAAAACAAAGAACCAATGCAAAAAATGACATGCTCTGTTTGTTAGGGGATTGAAAAAAGTGCTGAGAGTGTTTGTCTGGGTTTGTCCACAGCTCTGTGATTATGCTCATGCTTGTTTATTTCTGTTGTTGTCTCCAGGTGGCCCTGGGCCACGGTGCACGACGCCTGCATGTATCAGCCGCTTACAGAGCCAAGGCCAATGTGTCTATGAGCCGGTTTGAGCCCACTTCTTTCGTCAACTACGAGAAGCTCCAGTCTAACATTGACATTGTTAGAAAAAGGTTAGTGTAACCCTCCTAATGGATACAAGGACACAGACTCATATCACCGTGTCCTCCAGTGCTCCCCTGTCTGTGTGCATGTCTGAACTCCAATGTTTGTTTGACTTTTACCACAGTTTTTTAATCGTGGCTGTAGCTGGTGCCTCAGTGTGCCAGCCTCACGCTGCTTGAATCAGCATAAAGCCATTTCAAATGGTAGTTGTTTGGGGTGAGTGTGTAGGCAGGTGGAGACGTGGTACTGTGTTGTCTCTGCAGATCACTGCTTTCTGCCTTCTCTTCCCTGTGATTACAGCTGAAGTGTAGACTGGCATAAACCAGTGATTATAAAAAGACACGATAAAGTGATCAGGGGTGAAACAGTCGCACGTAGTAATTTCGTTTTAGTGTGAGATTAAAACAACAGAAGAGGAAACCCTGAATGTTAAATTTATTTATTTATTTCAATGTATAAAAATGCCAGAATGTTGTATCTGCCTAACCTCACAACTTTTTTTCATAGTTTATTAATACCTATATTCTCAGTTTAAACGTTATAGCGTCCTGTTATGAATTACATTTGTCTTTATGTTCCAGACTCAATCGGCCGCTCACGTTGTCAGAGAAGATCGTTTATGGCCACCTTGATGACCCCCACAACCAGGATATCGATCGTGGTCGCACTTACCTGCGGCTGCGTCCCGACCGCGTGGCCATGCAGGACGCCACGGCCCAGATGGCGATGCTCCAGTTCATCAGCAGTGGTCTGCCACAAGTGGCCGTGCCCTCCACCATCCACTGTGATCACTTGATAGAGGCCCAGATCGGAGGGGAAAAGGATCTGGCCAGGGCAAAGGTGAGGGGTTCTGTTTGGTCATGGTAGTTATTTTTATTTTGAACAATGAATTCTTGTGAACTGAGCAACTGTCATCATCCTCATCCTAGGAAGTCAACCATGAGGTGTACAACTTCCTGTCCAGTGCTGGGGCAAAATATGGAGTGGGTTTCTGGAAACCAGGATCTGGAATCATTCATCAGGTCTTATTACTTAAAGTTTGAATGCAGTTTTGGTCTGAATGTGGTCATTTTTGCCACCACTATAATAACAGTGGTCTAATTATGCTAACAATCATTTTATAAATGTCTAAACAGATTATCCTAGAGAACTACGCCTACCCAGGAGTGATGCTCATCGGCACAGATTCCCACACACCAAACGGTGGTGGACTTGGTGCAATCTGCATTGGAGTTGGAGGAGCTGATGCTGTGGATGTGATGGCAGGAATTCCATGGGAGCTCAAGTGCCCCAATGTGAGCAGAATACAGCATTTAGTAACCTCGCTCAGTAACCACGGCTGTTTTTTTTGCTTTCTCTTCATTTCTTACCTACAATTTACCCATCGATATCTTCCTCTAAGGTCATTGGAGTGAAGCTGACAGGAACACTCTCAGGCTGGACGTCCCCCAAGGATGTCATCTTGAAGGTGGCCGGCATCCTGACAGTGAAGGGAGGCACTGGAGCCATCGTGGAATATCACGGACCAGGAGTCGACTCCATTTCCTGCACTGGTCAGTGAAAACATCTGACTTCACGACCCTTTTTAAATTTTGCTGCTATTTTTCTTATGAATGAATCCATTATCAGAGCCAATGTGTGGAGAGAATACAGTCTGACAGATCTTTTGTTTGCAGGAATGGCCACCATTTGCAACATGGGAGCAGAAATTGGAGCCACAACCTCAGTATTCCCCTACAACCACCGCATGAGGACCTACTTGGAGAAGACTGGACGTGGACGTATGTTCACAATTTACGTATCAGTGCGATCATTTTTAGAAAGGCCTGGAATCAATCATTTTGCTCATGAAAAAAAAACTTGGACCATGAAATGAATTTAACCAGGAAAATTTTGACTTAGTTGATGAAACATAAAAAAAAAAAATCAGTCAATTCAAAGAAGTGCAGAAAGAGGAAATCAGAGAGGATATTAGTGAGTAATAATACTCTCTTTGTATAGAGTTGTACATTGTTGTGGAAGGCTAGCTTGTAATAAATGTACGTTTGGTCTTGGTGTGTCTTGACTTTTATCTCTGTCCTCTTGCTTCTTCTCAGAGATCGCCTCCATGGCTGATGAATACTCAGACTTGTTGGTACCAGACGAAGGTTGCGAGTACGATCAGCTCATTGAGCTCAATCTGGATGAGGTCTGTTCTTCTTTCCATCATTTTCTGTTTAAAGATTATCTTCTGGCATTTTTGCCCTTCATTGGACAGTTCAAAGTGGAGAATAACAGGAAGTGCATTGAGGGGGGGTGACATGAAACAAAGGTCTCTGGCCAGGGATCATTTAACACCACTTTGGTGTTTTAAGAGGTGAAACCCAGATGGAAAACTTTCCAGAGAAATTTACAGTTTGATTTGTATGAGACAATGTTTTTATTACTGAGTGCAAACCAGACAACAAAAAAAAGTTTTTCATCTATTCTGAAATCTATAAAACAGCAATAACTGGGATCTTATTTGTACAGATATTGACGTAAATGCAACTTAACTGGTTGGCAGAGGAAACAGTGAGAATAACTGTGTCCCCGCTTTTTCATTCTCTAGCTGAAGCCTCACATCAATGGACCATTCACCCCTGATCTGGCTCACCCAGTGTCTGAAGTGGGTTCTGTAGCTGAGAAGAGCGGCTGGCCACTGGAGGTCAAAGTTGGTAAGAACTGACGAGGGAGGAATACACTGTACAACTTTATTTATACTTCTGCTATTCATTAAATTAGTGACAAAAACTGAAATTTTTTTCTGTGTGTGTTACTTCTTTAATTCTCTTTTTGAATCCTTTCATTTTTAGGTCTGATCGGCAGCTGTACCAACTCCAGCTATGAGGACATGGGCCGCGCTGCTTCTGTGGCCAAGCAGGCTTTGGATAAAGGCCTGAAGTGCAAAGCTCAGTTCACAGTCACCCCCGGCTCCGAGCAGATCCGTGCCACCATCGAGAGAGATGGATATGTGAGTGCAAGCAGACAAAAAGCAGGAAGCTGTACCTCCTCCATAGTAATGATTTAAACCACAGTAAAGTGATGTACGCTTGAATGAATGTTTTTTTTCTTCCTGTAGTCAAAGGTCCTTAGAGATGTTGGTGGTGTGGTCCTGGCAAACGCATGTGGGCCCTGCATTGGACAATGGGACAGGTAAGTGAGGCCATTATTTGTAAAGTAGACGTTATAAGACTACATAAGTGTTAACATATTACGTGTGCTTGTGTTCAGACGTGATGTGAAAAAGGGAGAGGCGAACACGATCGTCACCTCCTTCAACAGAAACTTCACTGCCAGGAACGATGCCAACCCTGCAACACATGCCTTTGTCACCTCCCCGGAGGTAAAATTACCCACACTACAAGATATTTCACACCTCCTGGTTTTAAGCACATGGTTACTTTTTGAAGCTCAATGTCCTTTTATTGCCCCTTTTTCCTCAGATCGTCACCGCCCTTGCCATTGCTGGCACATTAAACTTCAACCCAGAGACAGACTACCTTACTGCCCCAAACGGTGAGAAGTTCAAGCTTGAACCCCCCAATGGAGATGAACTCCCGGCCAAGGACTTTGACCCAGGCCAGGACACCTACCAGCACCCACCTCCTGATGGCAGCAGCATCAAAGTGGACGTCAGCCCTCAGAGCAACCGGCTACAGCTGCTTGAGCCCTTCGACAAATGGAGCGGCAGTGACCTGGAGGACTTGCAGGTCCTCATCAAGGTCAGGGCTTTGAAATTATGTCAGTGTGTAGTTTAACCCAAACGTTTTCTTTGCTGCTGCAGGGAGAATTAACACGTCACACTGTTCTTTGCGCCCTCTTTGCAGGTGAAGGGAAAGTGCACCACAGATCACATCAGCGCCGCCGGACCATGGCTGAAGTTCCGCGGTCACCTGGACAACATTTCCAACAACATGCTGATTGGGGCAGTTAACAGCGAGAACAATGCCATCAACAAGATTAAAAACCACATGACAGGAGAGTATGGAGGAGTCCCTGATGTTGCCCGTCACTACAAGGTGAGGATCGCAGAGGGGAAAGCTTTTGGGTGCCATTAGCTTCCTCAAGTCTTCTGTTGGGATTTTAAATTTGAATTCAAAGGTTTGGAAATGGGAATCCATTGAATCATTTACCCTTTAAGACAAAATAAGCCCTCTAACAATGCTAAAACTTAAATATTGTTTGAAAACAAGCTTCTAAAACCCAAGGCTTGTCTGGAAAAACTACAAGTTTACTAAAACCTACATACATTTCCCATAATGCAAACCCAATGCATAAGTCACATGCAACATGTGCTGAAGTCCGGACATTTTCCTGAAATCTTTTTCTGTTGCTGTACATGAGAACACAATTGCCAAAGTCATTGCTTCTGACTCCTTCTCTTTCCTTCCTGTTGTGCTCAGGCCAACACTTTGTCTTGGGTTGTGGTCGGAGATGACAACTACGGCGAGGGCTCCAGCAGGGAGCATGCAGCTCTGGAGCCCAGGCATCTGGGAGGGAGAGCCATCATCGTCAAGAGCTTTGCCAGAATTCACGGTACTGAGCTCCAGTGGATGCTGGGTGTTCGTTTGATTTGGCGATGTCCAGCGAGTTGAAATATTTTACTTGAGTGTTCCACACAAAGACATCTTACCCCTTTCAGTCTCTCAATTAACAAACATTTCTCCCCATTCCTAGAAACTAACCTGAAGAAGCAGGGTCTTCTCCCATTGACCTTCAGCAACCCATCAGACTACGACAAGATCCGCCCTGACGACAAGATCTCCATCAAGGGACTCAAAACCTTCACTCCAGGAACGGTAAGATTGCAAAGCAGCTCTAATAAATGTCCTTCTCCTAACTTTTTTTTGACAAATAAACTTACAGCATCTGTAATGAAAACCTCCTATCATCCTCTCAGCCTCTGACCGCACTAGTAAAGCACAGCGACGGCAGCGAGGAGACCTTTGAGCTCAACCACAGCTTCAACGAGACACAGATCGAATGGTTCCAGGCAGGCTCCGCCCTCAACAGGATGAAGGCGCTAAAGCACTGAGGAAGAGGAGCGAGGAGAGACAGCGTGAAGGAGGATGAGGATTATCAGGGGGAAAACAGGGGGGTGAGAATCGTGCGGGATGAAGGGCGATGAAGACCGTTGACGAGCGCTCCATCATCTGCATTAGCACGCACTTTGGACTGAAGTAATGTGTCGGTATACCTCGGAAAGTTAAATGTGAGTAAATTACTTCAGACTAAGTGGCAAGCTGATGTCGATCATGGACCATGGCGACGTTTCAGAGCCAAACAGTGATAACTGGGTAGAGAGACACACACACATACACTCTGACACACTAAGCTTTCACCCGGTTGGTGATGTAATCCACTGCCAGTGTTTTTGCAGCTGTACAAACAGGTCAGTTGAGCGTGGAAGCCTCTTCACTCTGCAGCTGGAGGATGGCAGTCAGTCACCTTGTTGTGTAGAATTGCGTTGCACATTGCATGGAACTAATCAGCTTTAGCCAACCATTGTGATTCAATCTGCTCCTGTATTATTTAAAGTCCTCACTGAGATACGACAACATTGCTATAGTTTGCGCCTGGGTCCTTTTATTGTTTTGTGAAGCTGTACATGCAGTGATCTTGTTGTTCCAGAAATTTGTCTTTGCACAATTCATTTATCCACTCAATTACTTCTGAGATAGCCTGCCACCTAATGGTTATAGGGAGGAACTGTTGTGTCCACAAGCTAATTTGACCTAAATCAAAGCTGCACCTAATGACAGCAGTCTCTCCTGCTTTTGAAATGTATCCTGGGAAACGTAGGAAGTCACACACAAAAGAATGAGGCAGTTGGACTTAACGACTGAATTAAGATGAAAGAGCATAACTTGTGGGATGTATTGATCACAGATTGATTATTGTCTAATAGTGTGACCATGTTTAGTGTTACAGTAATGCTGTCATCCACCACAGGGCATATTGTCATTATTACAAAAGGTTACAGAGAAGAATCATATGTATTTCTTCACATTCAAATGTACTGGTACGCTTTAATACTATGTAAGAATAGTTGAATTTACCCACTTCTTCCCCGACACCATTCTTATTCCACCCCCGACCAATCCTCAAACCTCTACAAGGTCAAACACACCATATGTTTTCCCATTGTTTATTTATTTAAACTTTTTCTCCTGCAGAAAGGTCCTGATTTTGCATGAATTTTCAAAAAGGTTTCTGTTTTTTCTTTAAAAATGAAGGAACAGCATATAAGTTTTGAAATATTGGAGGAAAAACTGACAACTGATGTTATACTGTAAATCACCACTTGATGTAAGTACTCCAGATTACTGTGTCACATGGTTGGATATGATTGACCTGAAATTCATTCAAAACCTCATGGGAGGTTATATCTGATTCTTTTAGTCCACATGTGGACCTTTACTTCCTCAGTACCTGCTAACAAAATGTTGAATCAACAAGTGAATCAAATGAAGGTTCACTTCCACTTCATTCTTGTATCCCTCTCTGTGGAAAGTATCTGCTTCCATGTACATTTATGTGTTGGTTTTTTTTTTT